TTATAAAATTAAAATAAAAAGTTTTTATTAATTTTTTATATAAATAAATAATTTTAATTTTTTAAAGCTTTAAAAAAAATTAAAAACTTTTAATATTAAAAATTATTATTAGATAAATTAAGTAAATACTCTAAGCCCTCTACTAAGCCCTTGTCACACTTCCTGAGATCTTTCCTTCGCTGATCGGTGAAGAATTAATCCATTCAGCCAGAAACCTCAAGACATTTGCGCTTTGCGGTGCAGGAGAGATTGGAAAAACGGAGCGAGCTTCGGAGTATGTCTTCACGAGGCAAGATGAATTTTCTGCAATTTTCTGGGTTACTGGGGACAGCCGCAACATCCTACTTGAGGATTTTGCACGCATAGCGGTTGATCTTGGTCTCCAAGACAAGAATGAAGCCCAAGATCTAGCAGAAGCATGCGAGCTAGTCAAAGGATGGCTCTGCAATCCCGTAAAAAATCTCGAAGCACCCCTCGGCAGCCCTGACAACGAAATCCCATGGCTATTGGTACTCGACAACGTAAACGACTGGGGCACAATCGAAGATTTCTGGCCTACCACCGGCATCGGATCTATTCTAATCACAAGTCGGGATCCATTGTCAAAGTCTCATATTTATACTGCGCAACGTGGATTAGATCTCGAGCCATTCTCCTTATCCGAGTCTCTCGAGTTTATACGTGCTGTCTCTCCGGAAGCCCTCAGAGGCTCCCAAGCATCTGCCAAGGCTGTGGCTGAATGGGCTGGCGGGCTTCCCATCATCATGACTACCATAGCCAGCACCATGTCAAGCCGAAATCTTACTTATGACACGATGCTTAACCTGCTGAAGCAGCATGGCTTCGAGGCCGTATCAGCTGATAGCAAGCCTAAGAAGCACTCGGTGCAAACCGTATCGATCACTTCAATGATTGGTCTTGCATGTTTGGACGAGCACACGCAATGTTTGATTTATATACTCTCATTTCTGAATCCTGAGGGCATTCCTCAGAAGATTTTGATCGACCACTCAAGTCGAGCACAACCTAAGGCATACCCCACAAACCATGCTGAGCTGAATAATGCTCAAACCAAACCGCAACTGGCCTCACTAATCTCTTTTAACGAGTCTACTCATTCCCTCCGCATGCATCGTATTTATCAAGACATTGTGCGGGAGTCTCTGAGTCCCGAAATGCGGATGAAAGCGCTTGTGACGGCACTTGGGATCATTTCACAGGCTTGGATATATCAGCCACTTGAACACCGCTTTAATACTACAAGATACGAAGCATGCTCCGCCATCTTCCCACACGTAGGCCGAATCTATCAGCACTACGAGGAAATGTTCAAAACTCGAAATGTCAATGCATCAGAGCAAGCAGCTTGTCTCTTCAACGACGCCGGGTGGTATGTCCTCGATTCGTCCCCATGTTGCGATACTGACGTTGGAACAGGTACTGGTTTGAGAGAGGATTTCCACAGGAATCGAAGCCATTTTGCAGACTCGCCCAAAGCATTTGCGAGACACTCAATTATACGAAGCCAAGCGAGAAGGTAGCCAAAATGCTTCGTGAAAGCCATAACAACCAAGGTTCGGCCGCCAACGAGACCAATGATCCACAAGAAAGTCTGCAGCACAATCTTATGTGGCTCAGCTTGATGCGTGAAAGAGTATCACCAGATGGTAAGGGAGTAGTTGATTATGAACTCGGCTGTGTCTACAATGAAGTCGGTGTGGCCTATGCCATGAACAGCATGTACTCTCTAGCACTGGACTTTTTCCAGCAGAGCATTTCCACATACCAGTCACTTCCTGACTACGATGAGAAGTGGCTTGGGTGGCCATTGCCGAATATTGGAATGGTGCATTGGATCCAAGGAAACCACCAAGCAGCCTTAGAGGCACTACACCGTATGCGTGAAATATTTGAGACTGCTTACGCCCCCGACGATACAGAATCATTCAAGTGAGTCTTTTTGGTCGCTGATTCGAAGCGAAGCTAATCTAGTTGTAGAACAGGAAAGGTTCTCTACGGTATCGGCAATGTCTATCTGTCTCTCGGAAATCTAGATCGCGCACTGGACTGTCATTTGCGATGTTTCAACCAGTGGTCGATCACTCTTGGAGAATTGCATCACCGAATTGGTGACGTAGGCCATAAAATCGCCCAAGACTTTATGGGTCAGGGTCAATTTGACAAGGCGCAGTAAGTTCGGTTGAAGGTACTTTAGCAGCTGCTTTTAACGACCTGATGCCAGGGATTATCTCAGTCGAGCACTCAGAATCTTTGCTCGACGCCCATTCCACAAGCACAAACATGCTCGGACAATCTTCAGACAGGGCCAACTATATCTGGCAAGAGGCAAGCCTGAGCTAGCCGAGCAGTCATTCAAAGCAGCCCACAAACAGCGTCAAAGCTTGAAACCACAAGACACTCGGCCATGGGACGAGCTTTTAGAGAAGGATTACGACGAATTGGTCATCTTCATGTCCCGATGATGTAGAGGATTCCGAGCGTTCCTTCGAGGCCTTGAGGAGACTTGATGTATTGAGTCAACCATAATGAATTTTTGAATCGGTTTGCATCAAATGTGACCTTTCGCCAGGGAATGAAACTTTTGGAAACATGATAAATCGTTGCTCAGCTTAAGTCAGTTTCGGTATATCTAGTCATGATACATTTCTGCGTGTGCACACGAATTTACACATGTTCCAAGTCGTTTTTGACCAAGATATTCGTGAAAGGGATGGATGCGTTCATTCTGGTTGGACCTTCAGGATAGATGCCCAAAAGAGGGGGTGCCCGTATCCAGGTGACTTGTACATGTGATGTCAAGTTAGTTGACATGTCAACTAGTACATGTCAGCTGGTAGGAAGGCTCATATCAGCCAGAGATTTGAATAATGAAGCACTGAGGCTTGAGCCGAGCCAAATCGGGGCGATAAAGAATTTGATTTGATTGTACCTTGACGTCAAGGGTTACTCAGCTCAACTCAGCTCGGCTCCGGCAGTTGCTCAAGCTGTCAGACGTGCCATGAAGCACCAATATGTGCTTCCAGTCCCTCTCCCTGTTGTGTTCGGAAGCGCATGTTCTCAAGATACTACCAACACTAAATGACAAATTCATTCATCCACATGCAGGCTCAAAATGCTCTGGCTCCTGTTCAATCCATGACAATGGATCCTCTGCCGACCTTGGACAAATCTGCAGGCGAGTCACACCAATGATATCTGCGCATAGCCTATAGAACTAAACCGTCTTTGCAGTTATCTCCATGAAACATGCAGCCGTGAAATATGCAGAATTGGTCAAAGAATTTTCAAATCTTCCTGATGGTCGAGGTGCCAATCATGCGCTTCTCGCGAGATTCTTCGGGAAGCTGTTGCAACATTGGTCAACGTCACCGGAGCTTCCTCAGCAAGCCGAGGACTTTGCTCTCTCATACATATTTTGTGAGTACTCTGCGTCCATAAGATGTATGATATGGTATGTTGACGGGCCGGGCCACATGCTGGACAAGAAGACGACTCCAAGGCTGCTCAGAATGAGGCAAGATGGACACTCAACAAGGCCGTCAAGTACGAGTCATGCCTCGACTTTGTAACCAAGACAAACTCAGAGACATCCAAGTCTTTGAGCAGGCTACTATTCCTCCGTGGTTTCCCTTCCGCCGAGTGGCTGGGCGTCATTGGTGCTAGATACAGAATTGATTCGGAATTCTTTATGCGCTTCCTGCACTTCAAGCCTGCTAGAGACACCACACCCAATTATTCTCTGCCCGCTCTACCGGCTGCAACGTGGAATATTCTCGAGTTTCTTATCGTCACCATAGGAGAAAGAAAGGTCCTACCAGGACTCGTCGATCAATCTACAATAAATACCATGCGGAAAGAAGCAGGACTGCAACTCCAGGTACATCATGATCTCCTCCGCGGAAACGATGGGGTCGCAGTGGCTTCTTCTGTTGTGCGAGACATCTCGATTATTGACCACAGTTGCTTCGCCCTCGAGCAATGCATCTGGATATGCCTGCAACCTCTCTTGATAAAAGACTCTGACGGCGGTCGATGGACACGTGAGTGAACCCTCCTTATACCCTAGCAGCAGCTGACTTGAGGCATAGTTGTTGTATGGACAGACGCAGGTCGTACAACAAGCGTCAAGTCTATCCTGGATCTCAACGTCCTTCCCAAAGAATTCCAAACCGAGGCGATATCCCTCTTGCCTGTCATAGACTACAAGCCTAGTACAGCTCTCGCTGCGCAGAGATATACTTCCCTTGGCCATGTGTATCCTATCAAAGGGGCAGAAGCGGCATCGCAGCTGTGTGACGGATATGGTCGAACTCTGCATGAGGATGTCATGGCATCAGACCCGCTCTATGCTCTGACCGAAGTGTTCAACGTTACCACGGCTTCCGTAAACCAATTTCTCAATCTCATCGAACACAAATTATCCGGATTCACTGATGACGAGCACTACGACGATTTTGACATGCTCTCCAACCTGAGATACAGCAAAGATGTATTGTATCGACAGCAAAGACAACTTGAACAGGTCAGTGCCTGGCCGAAGCTTCATCAGCTTCTTGGTGGAATTGGCTGGCGCACTACTAGCACGGAAGACCCCAAAGCATCTCAGGCGGCGAAGTCTATCCTTCAGCGATATGAATATCTGCAGACACGTGTACAAAAGTTGCAGGCGCAATGTCAGGATGCCATCTCGAATCTTATGAACAATATCAACTTGAAGGAGGTCAGGAATTCATACGAGCAATCCAAGCGGATCGGCAAACTCACCTTCCTGGCCTTCCTGTTTGCACCACTTTCCTTCACTACATCCTTCTTCGCCATGAACATAGGCCTGCAGAACCTCACGCTTAAGACCTGGCTAGCTGTGACGATTGGACTGTTGAGCATAACGTTCTTCCTCGTGGTTGTAAACTTCTCGGGCTGGATCAAGCTTCTGCAAAACAAAATGCACCATGCAACGAAGAAAGCACGATATCTTTGATGAAAGCAGCCTTATCTGAAGCGGTTTTTGTCGTGGATTAATTTGTTGTCTGATAGTAATTCGAGGAGCATCTGGGACCTGCAATTCACGGGAAAGTCGCTTGAGCTTTCCGCGATCGCCATTGGTAGGGTATGTGATAGGGTAACCGAGGACTGGAAGTACATAATTTCTGACAACACAAATATTTCAGAACTGGAGCTTCAACTACAATCGACGCTGGAAAGTGTTTTCAATTTCATTGTATACTACATAAGCGACCTGAAATCAGAATCTGTGTGACCATGGCACGTGAAATCTAGTATTAATGCTGTCAACCAGTTTGCAAACGCAACTCGCGACTCGAATCACTGTCGAGCGGCAGTAATAATATAAAGAATATTCTTCGACCGCATGAAACTCATCACTTGGATATGAAGCCAATTTTCAGGTACTTGAGGCGCTTGTGCGCTCCAGAGACTGGACGACAGACTCGCCATCTCTTAGAGTCACTCGACATGAAGATCGGACAAAAACAAGAACATGTCAAATATATGCTAAAGTGACATTATTTTCAGAATAAAATTTTCTCTCTGTCTGTTCTGAAGACATTCTTCCTCCTAGAGCGGAAGCCTGCGACACTTATTCATAGCCGCATGGCCCTGAGAACATGCTTCCCACCTAAAGATCTTTCTTCGCACACTGAGAAAGCTTGTCTAGATCGCCTAAAGGCAATTTCTCCTGCTCTCTACACACCTTCGCGTTGGCGATGCATTGATTCGTCTTGTCCGCAACATCTTGCTCACCACACACTTGCATCACGTCAACGCACTGGAGAAACTCGAGCATTGTTGCGTCGGGCTTCACTTGGCCCGTGCAGCGACGGGCGGCGAACATGCAGGCATCCTTGTCGTTACCGGAGCGGCCACAGTGGTCCTGAAGCTGCTGTTCCCTTGTTGGTGTTCCCTTGTCCCCAAGGTTTTCGTTGATAAAGGAGATGTACGAAGCAACCCTGGTATACAGCCCAGTACCGCCGCAACCGACGCCGGATGACACGATGCCGACCACCTGTCCCGATTCCCGGTCGATAAGAGGACCGCCGCTATCCCCGGTGCATGTATCCTTGCCATCCCCCCCAGCGCATACCATTGCCTCTGTGGCGCCTTTACAGCTATCGCGAGCCCGAATAGGAACATAGACCTGGCGAAGCTTATCAGGCATAGGACCGCTGAATTCCAGTAAGCCCCTTGACTATACATTAGCGTCTTTTCCGGCTATATAGTGTAGTTGTGCACTCCATCAGACCTACCAGCCTGGGGCTAATGCGATGGAATCAGGTACGGGGTCAGAACCGCTCGCTGCCAGCTTCGCATAACCATAACGAATTATGTTGCTCTCTTGAATCGAGGTGGATAATTTCAAGATGGCAATATCGTGAGGGTAAGCATTATTTACATGGCCGTCGTAACTAGGGTGTATCTTGAAGGATGCCACTTCGGAAACCGTTCCGCCCGTCTCCCTGTCCTGTATAATAATTAGCTTTGTGCTGATCAACATTTTGCCATTTGCCAACGGTTTAAGGCACCTTGGTGGCTAAGAGGATAAGCTGATGACTGAAAGGGGAGTGTGTTTACCAGAGATCCTGCCCTCACGAGGAAGACGTCGCCTTGACAGTCTTCTGGCTTTTCACGGCACTTTACGGGCCGGTAGAGGCAATGAGCAGCTGTAAGGACGGTAGTGCTGTCCAACAAAATGCCTCCGCAGAAATGGTACGAACCACCCATTGGATGAACGCTGACGAGGTATGGGTATTGACTTAGATCTTTCAAAGTAGCCTCTTCTCCGCCGACAATCCTCTTATCGATGGCTGTTGCCGTTGCCGAAATGGCGGAAAGCGCGACGGCCAGTGCGGTAACAACTTTTCGTACCATTGTAGCGAGATGTCGTAGGTGAGTTGCCAGGGGGAGGGTTGTGGAAGAGAACCAGACAAGATAGCTTACTGTCGAGAAAGTTGTAACGCAATAATTTGGATGGGCAGCTTACAAGACTATTTATCCTCTCATCTACATGTATACCAAGACGTGAAACAAGGAAACAAGGACAAGGGACGCGTAGGCATCACCAAGTCCCGGCAACTCGTGTTGTGGCCTGGGCTACGCCCGACCCAGAAGACCTCGTGCTTGTTGCGACACAGGAACCTGTCTCCATGCTCGATTGAACTTGACCAGACCAGACAATCACAAGGGGCCCTAGTGCCGGCTCACATGTGCAGGCTCCTGCCTGGACGGTACTAGAGTCCGGCACTACCGGTAGGGCTGCGCCCGACATCTGCGCTGGCCAAATCGGGCTAGTTCGTGGCAAATCATGAGCATCAAATTGCATTGAATTGACCCGTATGCTTCCCTCGTATCCAAGCCAAACACCCTTGCGTAACTTTGAAAAGAGCACAAATAGATACCTGCCTAAGTAGGTAGCTAGTCACACGAACCTCGCGCGTTATGCTGCCTTGGGCCGCTCCCCTACCTGCACACGCCCTTTCCTTTGCCCGGACAGCAATGCCCGGTAGGAAACAAGGGAATAGGAAGGATAGTCCATATACAATTCAGACCTTCCTCATTTGGTCAGCCCATAAACTTGCCCGTCAGGTCACTTGTAGCTGAACGTACAAGGGTGAGAACGGATGGAGGAACGTGTGTATATCAGATAAGGGGTTGGAACTCATGCAGGAACCTATGTTGGTCAGATGGATGATGCACTGCCCAGTTGAAAATGATGCGAATGGATACAAGTTTCATTTTACCAGGGACAAAGACGAGTTTCTTTCTGTCCACCAAGCTCAATCGCCATCGTATTAGTCAATGACAGTGGCTGCTGCTTGGCGCAGCGCTGCCGCCCAGCTCTGCTGTGTCAATGCAAACTACAAGAATATCCACTTGAAAAGTGAGAGTCGGGTGTTTATGCGCGACCTTGTTGAATGTAATTCCACGGAAAAGGTCTGAGAGCGTTTACGAAACCATCCTTTGCGGCGCAAACCAGTAGCGTGTATAGCACATTTCCGCGGCTCAAGGTACACGACGTTCGTATCATGACTCATACGATGGCACCAAAGTATTTGAAATATAATGGAATAACATGGGCGTACGGGCGAAATTCTCTTGCGACACGCCGCCAACTCCTGTGTTCATAGCATAGTCCATCACCAGAGGTCCATATGGCAAGATGCATCACGTGGCTTGGGTCATGACACCCCCCAGCGAGTACATCAAGTCAATCGGACATCAGACACATACAACCTTTCTAAAAACCTTGCCATTGCGTGGGCCTCGTCGCGTGCACAGGTCTATCCAAATGTCCGATAACCGACAGCGCGGCGACATGCAATGACATGCATGACGATGACGTACAATTCTTGGGAGGTTGAGGCTTATTATTTATACCTACCAATAGGATGTAGATGGCAGCCAGCTTGGCACGGAAATGAAACCTGGCCCCGGTGCTGTGGAGTGGAAATACACTAGAAAATTTTGCATCAATTCAAATGTTCCGTTGACACATGATCTGCAGTTACATGGGGCTGAATAACCCGGCACATCAGTTATGCGTCTTGGGCCCAGTGCTGTTGTTAGTAGTCAATAGAGACCCAGCCAGTTGACATGAAAGCGCCTTCCGCTTGCTCTCGCCGTTGATCCACCACCACAACGCTAACTTAACTTAATCGGCATGGACCATACCCATTATGCCGACTTGCAGTCTGGTGGCGTTGCAGGAAACGGAAGGTGGCACGGGGCACATGCATGTTATTGACGGCTGGGCAACACAGGGCCGTGATTAGATGTATTGGGCCAATGGCCTTTGGCACACAAATTACTAACATTGAATAAATGATGGCTCCCGATGCCGCGCCTCAACATTGAACGCAACAAAAATGCTCCTACAGCCCAACCAGCGTGCTGTATGCGATGCACAATATTGACTTGACAATATACAAATACACAAAGTCCCCCGCGCCATGCAGAACCGACACAGACCTAGGCGGGAGATGATTCCTTGCTGCTAAATATCTTCTGCCCCAGCTTGTCCGCCATACGATCCGCCTTCTTCTCCGTCCACTGCTTGAAGGCCGAGTAGCCGGCTGAACAGAGCCACGAAACGGCATTGGCAACATCTATCCAAAGCGCAATCTTCATGGCGGTCGTGTTGCTCCCTCTATAAGGGTCGTCGCTCTTCCTCTTCAAGAACAAGCCGGCAAAGATGCCGAATGTCACCATCCACAGAACAAACAGCGCCAAGTCCCACCACCAAAAGAGGTATGGCTGGAACGAGCTCAGCAGTTTGCCGACGCAAGGGATGGCGCCGAGCGATGCCGCCGCCGCGAAGACGATGGCCGTCACGGCAGAAAGGCCGGCCACGGCCACGCCGTATATCCACACGGGGCCGATTCCCTCGCCGCCCTTGCTTTCGCTGCTGAGCCGGTTGCCGTAGAAGCCACAGATGATGAGGGCGAGGAGGAGCTGTAGTCCTCGGAGGACGAGCCGGGGAACCACCTCGAAGGTCTTGGCCCATGTCTTGCTCGCGTCCTTGCCGCGCTCGACGCCTTGGCTGAAGGCGAGCCGACCGACGCCGCGGGCTACCTCTTTCGTGTTTGCGCCTCGAACAGTGCTGGCAATGTCGACCACCTGCTGGGCCGTCCGTAACGTGCCGGTGAACTTTGGCATGGTGTTGGGTGGTTGCGCTTTCTTTGGATGATTCAAAAAAAAAAAAATTAAAGAAAAAAGGTTGTGGTGGTTGTGGTACAAGAGGATTTTTGGTCGATGTTGAGGATGAGCCTGGTTGACACAGTAGCAGCAGCAGCGTCGTGTATAAATAAGAGACAAACACAATCGTCAAGGCCAGCTCCTGCGCACATGTGGCAGTCAATATCAAGACAAAAGAAATGGCGAGAAAAAGAAAAAAGACGGCTGTTCACGACAACCTTCGTTTTAATACCTTGAGCAGGATTTTTTTTGACAAAGGGTCAGTGGTGCAGATTCTGGACAAAAAGGCGGCCGCCTTCAATGTTGGGTCGTGTTTCGACTCTAGGAGCAAACTGGCCATGGCAGCCAACCATTTTGCGCTGAATGGGCGGCTTTGTCGCGACGGCGGCTAAGCGCTTTCATCGGTTTGATGCGTCGTGCTGCGCTGGCCAATCCATATGCCGTCCATTCCGCGTTCACGGCTGCTGCAGGAACTCTGAAACATGCACAATCAGGCAGCGCACGCAGTGTCTTTGGCCATCTGTGTGCAAAAAAAGTTGGGCGGTTATTTGTTTCAACATCATGCGTGCGGGACTGAATGTGCCATTTGGTGGGCGAGCCACCCAAAGCACCGTTGACAAAGCCAGCAAGTCACGACCAGTACCCACCCACATGCACCAGCAAACATTGGACCCAAAAGAATTAGTAGTACCCGCATGTATTCCGAGCAATGTCACCCGCTTGAATATGTATGTACAGTCTGGTATATTAAAACCGCGATTTCTCAGCACGTGCGTCGCACAAATATACGTGCATGTGTTGGTGACCCGTCTGTTGCAATGTTCAATGTTGCGTGCTCACAGCCCAGGCAGGCGTGACTCATCCGGGATCACGTGCGCGCTGCTCTTCCCACCAGAAACCGGAAACTTCTGACTCAAAGACTTGCGACATCTGCTTGAAAGAGTCAATCTGCCATGTGTTTCCATCACCCTCGCTGAATCCTCCGACTGCAATGTTCAACATGTCTACATTGACTTTGACCGACCTTGGCTCGTTACTCACCAAAGTCGGCGTGTATGATTTCCAGTCACTTTGCGCGCACTTTCCCAACGCCCACCCTCAGAGTCGGCCAACCGATATATACCGCCTTCTCCTCACCAATATTTTAGCCAACTTGACAGGATGTGATGCCACCCTTATTTATGAGTCCATCCAGCTACCAAACACCCTGCCCAACGGGGACCTGGTACTTCCTGTGCCTCGATTGCGACTAAAAGGTCCAAAACCAAACGTTCACGCCGTCGAGCTGGCCGCGTCTTTCCCAGAAAACCAACCGTTATTCCAACACCCAACAGCAAGTGGCATCCATCTTCCCTTCTTCTTCACTCCGAAATCCCTGTCACACCTCGTCCTGCCTTACCTTTTTGAGAGGCATGAGGCGTATGGGCGTGACTTGACTATGGGCCTTGATTCTTCTGCCCCAACAGAGAGACGAAAGAAAATCATCATTGAGTTCTCCTCACCCAACATCGCCAAGGAATTCCACGCTGGCCATTTGCGAAGCACGATTATCGGCGCATACATTGCCAACTTGTATGAAAGCATGGGCTGGGACGTCACCAAGGTCAACTACCTAGGGGATTGGGGCAAACAGTTTGGCCTGCTTGCTGTCGGCTGGGAGCGCTTTGGCTCCGAACAGCTGCTGGCCCAAGAGCCACTGAAGCACTTGCTCGACGTGTACGCCCGAATCAACGCCTTGTTCAAGCCAGAGGAAGAGGAGAGCAACAAAGCCCGCGCCGAGGGCCGCGATACGTCCGAAATCGAATCTAGAGGCCTCTACGCCCAGCGAAACGCCTATTTTCGCCGTATGGAGACAGGGGATACAGACGCCATTGCACTCTGGCAGCGATTTAGGGATATAAGCATCGACAGATATATCGAAACATATGCACGTCTGAGCATTGACTTTGACGAATATTCTGGCGAGTCTCAAGTCAAGAGTACTACAGTGGACGCGGTTGAGAGCTCACTAAAGGGAAAAGGTGTCTACAAGGAGCACGACGGCTCATGGATCATTGACTTTGAAGAATACGGGTTCAAGGGCTTAGGGACGGCTGTCGTCCGTGGACGCACAGGAAGCACCACCTATCTTCTGCGGGATGTGGCAGCGATTCTTGAGCGAGAAGTCAAGTATAATTTTGACAAGATGATATACGTCGTCTCCTGCGAGCAAGATCTGTACTTTAAGCGTGTTTTCAGAACATTGGAACTCATGGGTCGCTCTGACTTGGCTGGTCGACTGCAACACGTAAATTTTGGCAAGGTATTGGGCATGTCTTCTCGATTAGGCAATGTTCAACTCCTTGGTGACATACTTGACCAGTCTAGGGACGCCATGCATGACGTTATGCGTCGAAACACTACAAAGTATGCCCAGGTGGAGGACCCTGAAGCAGTGGCCGAGTCTGTTGGCATATCCGCCGTCATGGTCCAAGACATGTCCGGCAAGCGTATCAACAACTACCCTTTCGACATCACCCGCATGACTTCCTTTGAAGGAGACACTGGTCCGTACCTGCAGTATAGCCATGCTCGCGTCAACTCGATTCTTCGCAAGGCCGGCCTCACGCGTCAAGAGGTTGCGGAGCATTGCCTTCGCCATCCGACGTCGCTGGAGGAGCAATTTTCGGACACACCACACTGCGTCAACTTACTCCGTCTGATTGCTCAGTACCCGGACGTGACCGCCGCTGCACTGCGCAACCTGGAGCCTTCAACCATATTAACATATCTCTTCCGGCTGACACATCAACTTTCGTCTTGCTATGACGTCGTACAAGTTACTGGCACCAATGAAGGCCGCGATGTGATGCTTAGTCGGGCTGGCCTTTATGAAGGTGCACGTCAGGTCTTGGAAAATGGAATGAGACTGCTAGATCTTACGCCAGTTGATAGGCACGTCCCACGCAACAGCATTGGTTCCCTTGCGTTCATTTAATACGCGCTAACATCCGTCTCTTTATAGGATGTAACTCGAGCCCCGGATGGAAAAGCACTCGTCGCCTCAAATTATTACCTTGAAGAATCGCGGCGTCCAAGTGTCTGCTCGTTTTGGCTTCCTGAACAGATAACCAAGTAGCTTCCAAGCCTCTCACTCAGCCTATTTTCCCACCACATAAATCCAGGCATAATCCTGTCGTCTATTTTCAACTCCTCAACTTTCGTCGTACATGACCATTGAGAGGCAGGTAAATACTACTAATAGGTAGAGAGCTACTGACTAGTGAATAAGACGCTCCAGTACTGAGACTCTACCGAGATGGGCAACACAAGTCATGCAATTAATGGCCATCAGCATCATACGTAAGCCCGAGGACAATCCTCGCCCAATTGGTAGCAGACAAGTGAGTCAAATCGGCAGTATCTTCTACGCCCCAAACACTGAACTGCGCCAGCCGCTTCCCCGACTGCCGTCAGCTTCGAAAATCTCGCAACGCCAAGGGTCCTTCGGGCTGTAACTGGTCCTCTGACAATTGCTCCTGGTCTCCCGATAAGCCCGACGGTTTCAACTTCATCCACAGTTGCCACTGTCACGATTTCAGTTACCGCAACACCAAAACTCAAAAGCGCTTCACAAGCGATATGAAGACTCGGATCGACGACAATTTTAAGAAGGACCTTTACAAGCACTATTCCCAATTCTCGGGCATCTGGTCCTTCAAGGGTGTGGAGTGCCGCCGCATCGCCGACATATACGTTGCCTTTGTGCAAAAGTTAGGCAAGCGTGAGGGAGACGAGCTTGGATTCATATTGCGAGATAATAGTGGTCTGGGTATTGATGAATAGGAAATTAATGAAGGTTTGGAGCATGACGGTGACGGTTCATGTCTAGGTGAAGACTCTGCTATTTTTTGCCATGTTTGAACAGCCAACAGCCACATGAAAAGATACTAGACTCTCTCGTCGTAGCTACAGGTCGTAATAAAATCCCTGGTCACATTCAAAGCAATTCACGGCAATGAGGCTCAGTTTCGACCAGCCAGCCTGATGGGCTTCTCTAGATCTCGTATATTTACTGGTGTTCTGGACTGCCTAGCCACATGGACATCAGAGGAGAAACAGAGAGGCGCTGGAACCGTGTGAATGAGCAATCTGCCAGCCCAGTATAAAGCCCTCAAGTCGTGGCGTTAGTAAACGAAATCTTGAGCGTTACCAGTTTCCATAACTTACACATCAATTCACACAACTGGCGGAGCACAGCCACAGACTATGACGTGACACCATGCCCGAAAAATGCTTTCAGTATTTATTGGGAATCAATCCTTCTTGCTTTATGCAGCCTGCAAGACAAACCGTTGCATCGCCAAGTTCTTGCAACGAACTGCCATTTATTGCTGATAGGGGCAGAAACAATGAGGCGCAAAGAAGCAAGCTCATTACCACGAAAATGAGAATGCTAGTTTGTTTTGCAGATCTGTTGCCGCGCATCAGGCCTAAACGTCACATACCATCAAAATGTGGTGTTAGTACTCTCACTGATTCCATCACTTGATACAGCATCGAACGGGGAACATGGCCAACATCAGCATACAGGGTAATACTTTTGAACCCAAGGAATCGTTCGCCTTGCAATTAAGCCTTTTACGGTTTCGTTTGGCGGCTATACAGAGTCATCAAGACGTATCACAGCGTTATGAATAGTGTGGACGGAGCTGCTGGACACAAAGTTGACCAGTTCATCGCATTTAACAGACAGGGAAGAGTCCTTGCAGATGCAAGTAGTGCCAGGAAAGATTCTTCGGGATAGCACGTGAGTGACATGGAGTATTGCAAAGAGTCTATTAGAGGCACCGTCGCGCAATATCGACCAAACACGATTGCGTACATGTAGAAACTTGAAATTCCTGTGCCAAAGGTGGAGGGCCCTCCATTGAACAAGATATCTTTTAAGCTTTTGATCCTGTAACGAAAATTTGGCTCTGCCTGAAGCTAGTATTTTGTCAATTACTTTTGCCTCAATGCGCGACTTGATCCTGCTATTTTACTCCTGGCTTTTTTATGTACCTGTTCACCCGTAAGCTTGGATGAAGACTGATTTGCGAATATTCTTCGTGTTCCTCAAAAGCTGATGAATAAGCTTGAAGTATCCAATACGAAATGTTATCCAGTTGTCTTCATGTTACACAATTGTCAATATTACATTGGCTACCATGGGGCTAATGGAGTTAATATCCAGAATCGTAGGCTTCAACTTGGTGGTGTTGACCAGCCGAGCATAGATTGCCATCGACTCTACGATCCCGGGTTCCCAGGCCCCCTTAACTGTGAGAACTCGAAGACAATACCTAATCGTATCTATATAATTTCTTTGCGCTATATTTGGTACATGTCCCCACCAAAATGAATCTTCATAGCGATTCAGCATTGAGAGGTCTGCTGGCTTATCCCGTTGCACCTGTGTATAGACAGTGCCAATGGCAAGAGCTGGCGTGTATGGATGATTTCGTCGGGTCTGCATTTCCAAACACGAAAGCTTTAGGAATGATTACCTCCGAAATAAGACGGTGCTCTCTGAAGAACTTTGATAGTAGCGCAAGGCCAAGACTGCTTGTGGGAAAATGTCATGGAGTCGCAGCAACAAGAGGCGACTCGCCATCCATTTCTCGCCGGTAACAGCCCTGCCAGAGACGTTTAAATGCTTGTGAGGCGCTGGGTGAAATCGAAATTCAGAATCGACGGTACATCTAGAGGCTTCTGCCAAGTCTCATTGACGTCGAGTGCTCCCATTGTGTCGTCACCTTGTTGGGGACTTGTGTCGACTTGAGTCAGCTGCTTAAGCCACTTGGAGAAAACATTGTTTTGGCGCTCTAGGATATGTCGTAATGAGAAATTCCAAAATATCGTAATCGGTGTGCATTTCCTCAAGGTATCTTCCCACACCGTTGTCAAGGTTTGTTGGCTGTTGCGCCGTGTACAACTGGAACAACCTCCCAGGTATAAGAGTAGGACTACATTGTTCGGAATGTCTCCCGGTCTCTGTAGCAAAAGGTAATACACGTGCCTCTGGAACAGCTAATGAAACGGGTTTTCTTCCATGCTCAAACCTACTGTTTCTTTCGTCGTCGTTTATCAGTGAACAAGGCTTGTCGCAACGACAGTCCCCATGCAGTCACGGGATGTCGCTCTCTCAGCAAATCGGAAATGTTAATAAATCTGGTTCTCACCAGTCGCCTCTGGAAATGGCCTTGGCCCAGCCTTGTCCGCGCATTCCAAACTGCACCTTCGCACACTCAAAGGGATCAATTGACAGGTATATCTAGGGCTGCACAGACTGCCCATCACCGCTCACGAGCGCCAACTGGGTTACGCATGGCTGGAGACCCATGACGCTTTCACACCAGACCTTACTCCGTCATCATGCATGGCCATGGCTCACTCACTCAACCAGTCCGTCCTGGCTGGGTGGGTAAAACAAAACGGACATGCCCAAGACATGCATACAAACATGGCCCAACAGGGTCTCGGGCACCTACTTAAGTAGCCAGAGGCGAGTGCGCCTCGTGGTTGCAGTCTCCTGGAGCCCATGGATGGACTTTGAAGGTTGGTTCAATATGGGTGCCTGGGGCTGAACATGGACGACGCGGCTCTCGACCACCAGAAATCCAGGTGCCTGCGATACAAAATCGGGGACAGGCGCCAAAGGCAAACTAGCTCAGCATCTTGTCTTTAAGCCCTCCTTATCTTTGGCATCGAAAACCTGACCCAAAGCAAAGCCGTGGCCGCCGTCCGATTCAACAACCCGCTGGCTGGTGTGGCACAACGCTTACCGACCCGAACCTTGAAGTTGCGACACAGACCAAGCAACAATGGCGGGCCGTTGCAAAGATGGAAGAAACATGACGGCATGCGCGTCGGTGAACATGATTCCTCAGTTCAAAGGCCTGCCTTTAGAAATCCGTGAGCTCGTCTGGGAAGCGACCTTGCCGCCCGGTCGCCTATTCCACGTCAGAGATTCCATCACGACGTACCCGGAACGAGGCCCGCCATGCGTCAAGCGCTTCACGTTCCACATGGCGCATCAACATCCCGTAGCCACACGAGTGTGCAAAGAATCACGAGCCGCTGCTCTCCGCCGGGGCTTCCTTCTCTCCAAATGCCCCGAGGCCTGGTTCAACCCCGACCGGGACATGCTCTACATCGACCGCAACCAGCGACGATTTATACAAAGACAAAGCGGGGATCCCGTGTACCAGGTCGAGGGCCTAGAGCAGGTTCAACATGTAGGGGTCGAATGGCGCGCGTGGTTCCGGGACATAGCAGTCTTCCAGTCGGAAGCGAGCATGCACGAGACGTGGAAGCATGTTCTGCGGTCGCTGAGACTCTACCTGCCCAATCTGCAGACAATCAACTTTGTGCTGCCACAAACTCGGCATTGCGGAGGCATGAGCTTTGGACGAGAGCCATACGGAGCGTCGGAGAAGCCTTGCCAACTCATCACCCTCCACGGGCATGTAAAGGTACCATGGGGCCAAACCTCGCCCTCTGGCGCGACGCTGGATCCTGCGGTTGGCGCTGTGGCATTTGGGCGTGAACTGACGATGCGCTTGATGACTTGGGCCACGATCCGAGACCAAATGGTGAGGGCGCTGCAAGATGACCATGATGATGCAGCCAAGGAAGAGAGGCTTGATGGACTAGTCCATGTCCTCCCTGCTCCAGCACGAAACATTCCGCAGGTCGTAGGGCTGTGGCTTATTAGAACTGGCCATTTTGGCGATGAGAAGTTGCTCCAAGGTTTTGAAGTGAGGACATTTAGATCCTAACAGGCAGCGGAGGAAAGGAACAGATATTCGCACACAAGCTGCACTATTTACACTCGTTGAATCAATAGTTTCATGCAACCTAGATGACTGCAACCCTAGACAGTATAAGCGAGGCCCAACATGTTCCCATCTTCTGGTCCCGGGACGCCAGAATCACCCGAGTTCACCCCGCCGTCATCTTCCCAGCGCCCGAGGCGGCATGCTCAGCTCAGTCAGCACTAGGATCGGTCCCCAAAAGGACTTAGTGTGGCTGATGTGTGTACCTGCTGATCTTATTATTGAATCCATCGGGCTGACCCGAGGGGCGGAAGACAACCAGTCAATAGCCCGTCGATGCGAAACCCGAACGCTCTAGCGTGGGAGGCTTCAACTTGGCATGTCTTGGTCGGCACTAGGAACTGGGTATAAGTGTTGTCAGATGGCCGCCGCAAGAATGTGGACTCGTGGAGAAGTAAAGTGCACCGTTGGGAGAAAATGAAGATTGCCTATATCCTCACTCTGATTGCCGGCGTCGTCGCGGCGGAACCCATGGTGTTCTTGATCCGACATGGCGAGAAACCCGCAGATGACGACGAGCCAGGATTGAGCATCAAAGGACAGCAGCGCGCTCAATGCTTGAGGAGTGTCTTTGGAGCTGGATCCAACTATCACGTTGGCCATATCATGGCCCAGGCTTACAAGCCAGGTATGCATAAACCAGCCGCGCAACCATGGCGCCATGTATACGGGATGGTTGGCCGTGCTAACGGGGAATGCGCGCGCCCATCTAGACGGCTCGAGAAAACGCCCATTCGACACCGTCTCACCACTGGCACAGGACCTCGGCCTCGAGGTTGACACGTCGTGCGACCGCAATGACAGCAAGTGTGTCAAGAAGGTTGTCAAGAACTACAAGGGCGCTGGGAACATCCTGATCTGGTGAGCCTGGACGAAACCCGTCAATACCTTGGACCATCAATGATGAAATGGCTGGCTGACTTGGGTTTGCACAGCTGGGAGCACAAGGCCCTTCGTGACATTGCCGAGGCGCTTGGAGCCGACGACGTCAAAGACTACCCCAAGAAACGATTCGACGAGATATGGATCGACCCGTATCCCTACAGCGAAATCACAGACATTGTGTCCGAGAACTGCCCTGGCCTGGATAACTAGAGCATGGAACGATGGGCCAAGTTGACGAGTCTACGACGCGGCCAGATGGGGACATGGACGTATGTATGTACATGGGGGACCTTTTCGGCCGATGACGCGGGCTGCCATGATTGCGCAGGACATGTCTGGTAGCATAAAAATAGAAACAGGACTTCTGCCGTGTTCCAATTCCTGCTTGATGATGCACTCACGAAATACCGGGCAATAGCCTCTGACCCAAGCTCGTGAATCCGGCCAGTGTTACGGAACACGCGAGCGCACTTGACCACATCACATGGCTGGCAAAAGAAAAAAAAAAGTAGCCTCATCACATGTGCAGTGTGACCATTCCTTTCGGAGATTTCTACGCTTGGAGTAGGTGTCTCAAAGTATTGAACTCAGCTGGCATCGCCGCATACCGTCTGCAATGAGAAAAGAAGCACCCGGGGTCGTGTTCGAGGCGTGTAACCAAATTGGCTGCAGATGTTTCCTCGGCATGAATTCCTGTCTGTGGTGCGCTTCCATCCAAACCTGCTCCTCGTACAGCAAAACCATCCGCATCACGTATTGTGAGGCAATGCGCATGGATTCGGCCAAGTATGCGCTGGCACAATGAGCTCCAATTGTTTCATTCAGCGCTGCCCTTGACCGCATACCAAGTGGCTGCTCATGCTCGCGATGCAAGTTGGGGCATGGAACGTGGCGCACCGGGCAGACGCGAATCGGAATGAACGTCCATTGTACGCTTTTCTTCATGTTAAATGATTGGCCGTCTTTTTTGGGTTTGTTTTCCAAAGGGCCGTCGCTCGACTTTTCAATCCCGAATCTGCTTAGTTGGTACAACCATCCAAGCTGAAAGTTGAAGCGGGAAATGAACGACTCACATTTTTGTGACGCAAGCATGGAATTGGACCAATGACTTTGTTGACAGCCGTCTCGCTATATTTCCGCCCCCCTGAAAACGAAGACGATGAAAAGAAGAAAGAGCACACCCGGCATGGGAATGTTGGTTCTTGGGGGCAAAACACCTCTTGTCGAGATCTCTGGGGGAATACGCCCCAAGACTTTATTCAAAAGGGTATCCTCTCGCCCGCTGCAGAGACACCGAGCATTCGCGACTGCTAGAAATGGCCCGTGATGCTTTTACTCCCAGTCATATCGATTGCCTCGCCCTTGGTGGCTTGGGCCTTGCCCAACCTGACAGGCTGGAACAGGGCCAAGGTGTTTGACATGACGGTGACCTGGCAAAAATATGCCCCAGATGGTCTGGTGAAGCAAATGTTTCTGATCAATGGCAAATCCCCGGGACCTGCCATTGAAGTCGAGCAAGACGATTGGGTTGTCGTGAACGTACGGAATAAGTCGCCTTTTGGAACAACGGTACACTTCCACGGTATGTATGTGCCCACAAACCGAAGCCATTCCACGCTCTGAGTGCATTAATACCGTGCATTTCCAAAAGGGATTGAAATGGACAAGACCCCGTGGTCCGACGGCGTACCGGGAGTATCACAGCGTCCAATTGCTCCAGGGCGCAACTTCACCTATACTTTCCGAGCCACCCAGTATGGAAGCTACTGGTACCATTCCCACTCGCTGGGGCAGATTGAGGACGGACTCTATGGACACATCCTGATACGCCCAAGGCCAGGTACCATGAAGCCATTCCATATGATATCCCACGATCCAGGTGCTATCGAGGGAATGGAAAGGGCCGAACGGGCTGTACATGCACTTATTGTGTACGACCACATGCACATCACCTCGGGGGAGAAAGAGGACATAACACCCGCAGCAGGCGTCGAAATTACTTGCTATGACTCGATTCTCTTTAATGGAAAAGGAAGAGTTCGGTGCCTGCCAGAGGATGAACTCATGTCGCACTTGAGTCCTACGCAAAAGGCTGACCTGGCCTTGGTACCCGGCCAAAAGCTGACCGACAAAGGGTAAGACGACACTACAATTGGGACTGCCGCGAGGTTTCACACTCTTGCTGATAGATGAACCTTTAGTTGTCTGCCTCCTATTGTCCTGGCTGCCTTTGCCGGCGATGTCACCAAATACAACGCAAGTGCGATGCCGGCAACCATTTATCAAGGCTGCGAAGAAACGAATGGCCACACAGAAGTTATCAGGGCGAATCTACCTGGCCGAAACGAATGGCTCGCCCTCGATGTCGTCGCCGCAATCAACTTTGTCAGCGGCGTGGTCGCCATTGACGACCACGACATGTGGGTGTACGCCATGGATGGATCGTATATTGAGCCACAAAAAGTCCAAGCACTCGGCATGTCGAATGGCCAGAGATACTCTGTTTTGGTTAAGCCGACCAGGCCGGGGGACTTTCAGATCCGGTTTCATGCCAACAGTGCACCGCAGACCATTATCGGAAATGCAATTCTTCGCGTGCCGGGTGTTGCTGCAAGCCCGCAAGAACCAAAGCCGTACATTGATCTCGTTGGCAACCCGGCATTTCCTGGAGTTGTGGCATTCAACCAGACGATTGCCTATCCATACCCCGCCGATCCCGTTGCCCAAACGGCAGACGCACTCTATGTGCTCCATATGAAGTTGGACGGGTTGTCGTATCTCTGGGCATTGAACACGACGGGTCTCAAGCCTATGGTGGTGGACACGACACTTGAGCCGATTCTCTTCAGCCCAAACGCGACACATTTTAAAAATGCCATGCTCACGACGAAAAACGATACGTGGGTGGATCTTGTCTTGTTTGCCTCGGAATTCCCCATGCCACCGCATCCCATTCACAAACACGGCGTCAAAATGTACCAGATTGGTTCAGGAACGGGCCCATTCCGATGGACGTCGGTGGAGGGGGCCATGAGAGAGATGCCAGATCAATTCAACCTTGTGAATCCGCCGAAACGGGATACATTCACCTCCATGCCAACCAGAGCTGCCGTGAATTGGGTGGTTGTACGGTACCATGTGACCAATCCCGGGGCGTGGCTACTACATTGCCATATTCAAAACCACATGATGGGGGGTATGATGATGGTTATCCTTGACGGCGTGGATGCCTGGCCAGATGTTCCGTCCCATTATCTCCATCATTCTTAATGTTGTCACGAGATTTTGAAGAGGGCTTATATAAAGAGGCTGTTGTGGACGCTCCATGAGAAGCTTGGGAGGGAGAAATGTTAGCATGTATATGCACATTACTTGCAACATGAAGCAAGGAATATAGTCTAGAAGTATTCATGCTCTATTAGAGAGGAGCCTATATGATTCTTACTCTGTCTTGATCATCCAATGGAGTGGAACACCCCGCCTGCAGCCAAGAAGCATCTAAAATAAGAAGAAACGATACACCGTAAACGCCGATCCGTGTCTAGTCATCTATTATACACAGGATAACTTCTGCGCTCAGGCAGCAGCCATCTCAATTTTCTTGCCCTTGACAGAGTTCCACGGCACAGAGGCGGATCCAATAATGGACAAAGCAGCCATGGCGGCGGAGACGTAAAAGGTGTTGGTGACGGCGCCGTTGTAGGCCTCGAGAACAACGGGCAAAAATTCTTTGGGAATCATATTCTGAATCTGGGTGGCACCAACGGAAACGACGCTTGCTGGATCAAGGCCCTGGATGTGTGCATCGGCCACGTTGGAAACAAGTTTATTCTGGAAAACGTTTTGAGCAACACAGATGAACAGGGCGCCGCCGAGAGTCTGCGAGAAGATGATGATGGCGGTTCCAATGGCCACGTCGGCGCCGTCGAGGGAGGCCTGGATAGCAACCATGGTCTGCTGCATGCCGAGACCGACGCCGATACCAAAGAGGATCTGGTAGCCGATCCAGTGGGCAGGGCCGGTGTTGACGTCAAAGGTAGAGAGCATACCGGCACCGACAGACATGAGAATGGTCGAGGCAATCATAAACGGGGCGTAGTAGCCGAGGGTGGTGACGAGGCCGCCGGAAACCAGGGAGAAGATGACCAGAGACAGAATCATGGGCAGATTCTTGATGCCGGAGTCGATGGCGGTGGTGCCCTGGACAGCTTGGAACCAGATGGGCAAGTAGTAGACCATGACGAAAAAGGCAGCACCCAGGCAAGCACCAAATACAGCGCAGGACCAGACGGTGCGGTTCAAGAAGACGCGGGGGGGCACAGTAGCCTTTTCCTTTAACCAGACTTGAACCGCCAGGAAGCCCGCGATGAGAACGCCAAAGACAACAAACAAGGCGATGATGCGGCCGTCCTTCCAGGGATACTTGGTACCACCCCACTGCAGAGCAAGGAGCAGAGACACGATGCCGGGAATGAACAAGACGGTCCCGAGCAGGTCAAAGGACATCAGCTGCTCCTTGAAGCTCAGCTTCGTCTTGGCCACCCTGGGCTTGGGAAGGCGCAAGAAGGCGATGATGAAGGCCACGGTGACGCCTCCAAAGGGCAAGTTGATATAAAAGCACCATCGCCATGTGACGTGGTCGGTAAAGGCGCCGCCCATAAGAGGCCCAGCAACAGAGGCAATGCCGTACATGGAGCCAATGATGCCCATGTACATGGGACGCTGGCGCAAGGGTACAGATCGGTTGATGATCAGCAAGGCGCCGGAGAAGACACCGGCGGCGCCCAGCCCGGCAATGGCTCGGCCGAGAATGAGGCCCACGGAGTTGGGCGTGGCGCCGCAGACGAGGGAGCCGAGTTCGAAGAGGAAGATGGCAAAGAGATAGACCCATTTGACCGAGTAAAAGGTGTATAGTTTACCAAAGATGAGCTGGACGGCGCACGTCGTGAGAAGGTAGGCCGAGCCATACCAGCCGACGTCTTCGATGGCGTGGAACTGATCGGTGATTCGAGGGATCGCGGTGGCAATAATGGTGTTGTCCTACAACAAGAAACTTAGACAAGACGGCCCCCTCAATAAGAGCATGGCGTGAAGCAACATACCAATGCCATGCAAAACACGGACAGGCAGAGAGCGATAGTAATTAGACCCAATCTCCATCTCGCGGGATACTCGGATTCATCTTCCTGCGCTTCCACAGGCTTGGCTTCCGACGTCGAGCCAGCATCGGCGGCTTCCTTGGTCGCGGCGACGCCATCCTCCCCCACGTTTGCCAAGGCGGTTTGCTTCTCGGCTTGTTCAGACGGGACATTATTTGTTGGATATCCGGGTTCGGGTTCCTTGTTCCCCGTCCGCCCGGAATACACGGAGGTGACGTCTGTGGAGCTTTCCGACGAGACCATCGTGGCGGTGTTCCGTGGAGGCCGGAGTGAAGATAAATAAAGTGCCTGTTCCCAGTTCTATGCTTCTGGGGAAGAGCACTTGTCGCTGTGGTTTGGGTGAGTTGTCCAGGTCTTTCGCCTCGTGAAAAAAACAGGCTGACTTTGTCGAGAAGTACGAGAGCCGGGACACGGCTCACGATGACACCTGGGCGCCTGCATGACGGTTAAGTACAACGGGCACTCTTACTTTTTACACCAGACCGAATCTTCTTTTTTTTTTTTTGCAACGGCGTTACCCACCAGGCGAAACTCGGACTACTCAGGCGCACAGGGATCCTGGAGCTACATCAAGGCAAACTAAGGTGGTTGCGGAGCCCCCAGGTGCCATTTCGGACTCGCGGGGTTCAAACAAGACCGAGCTATAAGCGCCTGGATAACTCTTTTATGCTTCTGGCGCCATGAGATGGAGTCTCTGGGTTCTCAGAGCCCTTTCAGTGAGGCCCAAACTTGTTCAGAGCTGGGCTCCTGTGTGCGACATCGCCTTCATAGCGCTCGTCTCGAGCCTGTCCCTGATGTCCGCACCTGGCGGAGTTCCGCCCGTCATTACCTTTGCGACGGCGGAGTTTGGACTTGGGCTGAATCAGTGAAACTCGCGGCCAGGATGCCGAGTCCGAAACTTTGCACCAGACTTCACCAACGCCGGGGTTTACTCTTAAGGCCGGGTTCAAGACACACAGCCGAGCAACGTGGCATACCAAGGTCAGGCAACGAGACCGATAGCGTACGGGCTTGCAAGCAAAATTGCGCGCCCTTGCGTCCAGGGCTGCGTGCTCGCCATGGCGCTGGGATGACGCGTTGACAAATGCAAGACGATGGTGATGGTGCACACGCACGCAACTCACCATGGATGCGTGTCCGGAACGTGCGCCTCTCGTTTCTTTTTCTCGACCTGGGCGGCGTTGTTGTCCAAAACACGGCAGGCGATTGAATTTGTCAAGCCCGGAGCCTGGTCGGATCCGGATCCGGATCCAGATCTCAACACATTCTAGAAGAATGCGGTGCTCAATGCTGAGCATCATTCCAAGGTCCATGTCTGAGGCGCGTGCCACTTCCTGGCTCGCCCTCGGTGTCTCACCAGCCCGAAGCCAGCAACAGCAGGAATCGATTGTGCGGCTGAGAAACTGGTCTGCAGATCGAAGGGGCAGGCCGTCACGACGAGACGACATCATTTCGACGCTTCACTCCTGAAACTCCACCCGAGAACCAGGGCCCAGCCAACCGGAGACGCCTACTGGCATGGCTGGCCTGGTCCAAATTAGCCTGCTGTGGCGTTTTGAGCCCATTGATTTGATCGCTTGGAGGATCACGGATTCCAGATTACGGATTACCACCCTGGTCCGCTTGCTCCCGACGCAAACTCGACACAACCATGAAAATGACACGGGGAACCATTCCGTCCAATGAACTACGCTGTCCATGCCCTGGCCAAGCTCGGGGTAACTCGCTCATTTGCCCGCAGTGGAAACACATGCCCGTGTCCCAGATTTCAGAAACAGCCTCAAGACGAGGCAGCCAACGAGATGCTCTCATGTCGAGAAATCGTGGAGAATACACGTCGCTAGTGTCTGCATGTAGCTGCGCTGCGAGGTACAGGGTAGGCCTGCGACATGACGGTTTTCTAGTATTAGCAACCCATGTTAATTGAGCAATATACGGAGTAATTTAGAATCTGGTCTTATAAGACCAATTTCCCTTTTAATTCCTTCCTTGCTAATATCTTACAAAAAAGGAGAGATGCAATGCGACATCAGATGCGTCGTTTCATGAACTCAAGACCGATGAATTGCATGCTTCATTGACATCGACATGCGAGCCACAGAGCTGTTAGGCCTCAGAAGAAAAAAAAAAGTTTACCCGTTGGCATGATATATTCCATGCGTCACTACCTGCTTAGGCGCATTGATGTAACCCTAGATGGCAGGTCTCGGCTACGGCATCAGAAGGGACATGGAGTGATCAACTCAAGCCTGATGTGCCGAAGTCTGGTTACAAATACTTGCAAGCGTGTCTATATGTACTTGGGCAGACAATACGGTGGCATCTGTTACTTTAAACGTTCCATCTCAGCTAATATGCTTGGGGGAATCAGAACCCTCGCTAGAATAATAACTACCTTGGCTGAAAACGTGCTGACTATCAGGCTGAGCCACTTCTCGGCGCCTTTCGAGTAAGAATTCCACAATTAACAAATTTCTAATCGATGCATATGAATTTTCCATAGCCTGCATGGTTGGCTGTGAGGTCTGACGCCGACTTGTGCCATGAATAGGTCTGATAGCTGTACAAAATTCCCCATCAATAGTTTATTATGGGATGTTTGAGCTACAGGAATTACAGCAAGCATTACTCAAACAAAAGCCGTATTGGCTACGCCTAGCATATTGACTCCTTTCTCATAGGCCATGAGATGAAGGTGATATCCGGCTGTGAAATCTTGGTCATGGTAGATACAGATACCATGGTGTATTCTGCCAGCACCTGAACGGAAAACAAAGTGAAGAGATGGCTCTTATTTGAGATGTGGGACAAGAGATATTCGTAATGGTAGAAGCTTAGACGCATACTGCAGCAGTATTGGTAAAATGAAGCAAGCAATCAAGTACAAGGCGGCCCGAGACAGCATATAAAGTCTTGCAATAACTTGAACTAGCTACAGAACTGCAAATCACTCGAGGTTCATTCTTCATCTTGAGTTTTTGACACACCATCCAGCAGAGTCTCACTGCAACACCTGAGACTCCCATTACTCAGTCATCTTCAGCGTCACGAGGGTCATTGTTTTGCCAGAACTTTTCATAATCCTCCCACGTTTGAGACGGGAATGCGAGAGGCACCGTCAGGGGGGCAAACGGAATGCCTTTCTGCTCAAACTCATCAAGCCGAGCCTTGGTGAGCGGCCTAGACTTGTTGACACTGTACACAGAAATGCGATGGCAGGAGCTGGTGACGTGTAAGCCCCAGTTCCAGGCTGTACGGACGTGAGGCGGTTGCGTGTTGAGCGCGTTGTCCCAACAGCGGCAGACAATCTCGACCCAGCCCTCGACGTCGCATGGGAGGTCAAACTCCCAGGTGCGCCACGTCCACTTCCGCTTCTTGGAAAGGTTCCCGAGGGGAACGGTATACCAGTTGAAGCCGCCGTCGTTGGACAGTTCAACGCGCTCCGGCCACCGGCCACCACCAGAGTAGGCCCAGCCCTTGCAGCGAATCTTGCCGTTGTGGATACACACTTGCTTGGTCCATGGGGACATGATGGCAGAGCTTACCGGCATTTCCTGGATCTGGATTCCATCAGTCATCCTGAGGTTGTGCTTTCCTACCTGCTGTGGGAAGTAGAGGTACTCCTGGCTCTGGACTGGTGCCCGCGAGGGCTCCTTGATGGCCTTGATGCGATAAAGCCACTTGACGCTTCTGGCCCCGATGTAGCCAAAGACCACAATACGAAGGGGGTATCCGTGGATGGCGGGAAGGACCTCTCCATTCATTTCCCATGCAAGCATCACCTCGTTGGCCTTGACCTTGGACCACGGAACACTGACGAGATAATTCATCGTCTTGTCATCCTTGAAGTAGGTATCGGCGCCGTAAAACTCCAAGTGCTTGGCCCCGTCAATCAAGCCCCCGCACTCCTTGATGACCTTTTTCAGACTGATGCCGACGTATCTGGCGGTGCCAATGGCGCCCTCTGCCCAAGGCGCCTGCGGAACCTCGTCGCCCTGGCCGGGATACTTGAGAATCTGCTCAATACGACGCGTACCCGAGCACTGAATGGTAATGGCCTTTTCCATTCGCGGAAATCTGTTCTCGTCCATGAGGTCGTCCAGAGTGAACTCCTTGGGCTTGGCAACGAGGCCGTCGAGTAGGAAGCTGTAGTGGTCCTTGTCGATCAATGGAATACCGCCGTGGTTTCTCACAAAGTGAAGTGAATTGGGGGTGATTTCTTTGGCGGTGACGAGGCGCTTGGGGGGCTCCCCGTTGTATGGAAATTGAAGAAGATGCAGCATGTCGGGGTGCTTCTCCTTGAGGACGGTGGCCCAGGAGTCGTCGGGAATCTTGGTCAGCTCACCGCCGACGGCGTGATGCCACATTTTCCAGTGCGTGCCAGGAAGAACGGGGTTCGTGCCAGGGATGGGACCGAGCTGGAACTCTGGATTCGGTGGGAATGTCTGGGACGTCAGGATGGTATGGGCGGCGGCCTTTTTCTCGGGATACTTCTCCCACTCGACAAAGCTTTGCACAAGTCACACGATCAGCGAGGACGGCCACAGGCACACGTCCAGTCTTGACCAAGGTCACACGTACCCCGTCCAGCCCTTTCTCTCCATGGAAAACAGCTTGTTTGGGTCTCCCACAGCCTTGATAGCCTTCTCATCTTTGGTCAGTGGGCCAAAGGTCTGGATGGGAAGAGCCTTGGTCTGCGGCTTGGTCATATCCAGGGGCGGGAGCACAGCGCCCGACAGCCCCTGCTCAATCTTCCACTCGTCGGGGCGATTCGTCGTCTTCATTTTGGCGGGAGCAGCTTTCTTGGGCTGGGGAGGCATTGCAACAGACGAGTGTTTGATGCGTTCAAGCTTGTCAACATCTGAGCCGCGGAGGGGAAAGCCGATGGAGAAGCACTTATACCTGATTCACACACCATGGCGGCCGAGACCCCGTGCTAAACCTGTTTTCGCTCTCCCCATTTTCACGTTGCTTTTGCCATGATGAAGTCGTCATGCAAGACGCTCAAAGCGGAAGGACAATCGGCCCAATGGGCGACGATGAATTTGTGATATGCTTTTGCCCCGCATCATGGTGGCGTGATAAACCGGCGCCACGTTGGTCAAGTCGCCGGTCCGTTTGACTGCCGTCTTGTCCCGCGAAGCTATTGGAAAACCTGCTATCCTTACAGACTAATGCATCTGGCTTCACAAAAGGGCTGGTCGGATGTATCGGGAGGGTGGGCACTACCATCGTTAAGGTTTTAACTGGACATCATGACCACCACGGCTCTGCTGCATTGGGGCTAGGCACGCATTGACAGCTTCCCGGTTTTGATGGATATAAAAGCAACATTATGAGGCTCCCATCTCTTCTTGATTCTCTCTGCAGAGATATTGTGTATATCCACAGTCATCATGGTCAGCTCACACCCTCGAGGCCATCTGGTGAAGTGAACTATTCGCTAACAAACTATAGTCTGCCTTTAATCCTGTATGCACACTGGCTAATGGTAAGCCATCCATTGGGCTCATTGCCTCTCCTGCAAGCTTGCTGGGATGCAAGACTGACACCAATCATCACAGGTCAACCGAGCCCAAACCCGGGGTCTGTCCACCAGATTCGCTACGGTAACAGCAATGGCGGCCTAGTCACCTTGGCTGATACCCAAACCATTGAAGTCCTTGCTCATTTTGCACGGGAGCGCATTCCAGAACGGTAAGGGGACCTCTCCACCACGTCAAACATGCCAGAATCTCTCGGACTCATGATTGGAATAGGAGTGTTCATGCAAAAGCCGCCGGCGCCTTTGGCGAATTCGAAGTTCTCGAGGATGTATCTGATTTGACCGATGCCAAGTTCCTCACTGGAGTTGGCAAGAAGACGCCAATCTTGACCCGCATCTCGACCGTTGGTGGAGAAAAAGGATCTAGTGACACCGTTCGCGATGTTCGGGGCTGGGCCACAAAGTTTTATACCGAGGAGGGCGTGCAAGACTTTGTATTCAACGATCTGCCCGTCTTCTTCATCCGGGATCCCATTAAATTCCCCTCCATGAATCGGAGCCACAAGAGACATCCTCAGACAAATGTGCCGGATAACACCATGTTTTGGGATTTTCATAAGAATAACCCCGAGGGAATCCACGCTCTCATGCACCTATTTGGGCAGCGCGGTATTCCGTCTTCGCTGAGAAACATCAATGGTTTCAGTGTCCACACCTACACGCTAAACAAAGCTGTGAGCTACCGTGAATATGGCATCATTTATCGCAACGACTGATAAGTGCTAGGATGGAAGCTATGTCTACGTCAAGTGGCATTTCAAACCCGACGACGGCATCAGGACCATGGATGCAGACACCGCAGCCCGGCTGGCAGGATCAGAGCCTGATTATCACGTCAAAGATCTTTTTAATGCCATCGAGGGTGGAAATTTCCCGACCTGGACGGTATACGTGCAGGTTATCAAGCCCGACGAGGTGAAGTCGGCACCGATTGACATCTTTGATTGCACCTATACCTGGCCTTATGAAAGTTACCCACTGCGTCGTGTCGGTCGTTTGACCCTCAACAAGAATGTGTGTTGAATGATGTCCATGGTACATTGTAGCCGTGCACTAACGAGTACATGCAGCCGAACAATTACTTTCAAGACATTGAGCAGGCCTGTTTCTCGCCATCAAACATGGTGCCCGGTATCGGACCTTCCGCGGATCCAGGTCAGTACTTGCAGCAAAACTCTTACCCGGAAGTGGCATATCGAATTGACATGTCGATTCAGTTCTGCAAGCAAGAATGTTTAGCTACCCGGACGCGCACCGCTATCGCGTAGGACCAAACTACTTTCAACTTCCGCCGAACCGGCCAGTGAACAAGGTCTACGCTCCATATATACGAGATGGACCCGGAACCATGAATGGAAATTACGGAGGTGATCCCGATTACGTCTACTCAGAGCTTCGCCCCGTGTCTCAGAGCAACAGAATTCAGCTGCCAGTTCATGAAATGTGGACGGGGAATGTGACGTGCTTTGCTACCTCGCTCACTGACAAGGATTTTGAGCAGCCTCGCAAACTGTGGGAGATTATTTGCAAGGAGCTCAATGGAAAAGAACAACTCCTTCATAACATCATCCCCACACTGCGAGATATTCCAAACAACCTAAAGAAGGAAGTCTTGGGTCAGTCAAAACTACCAACCAGTCATGTCACGTAAACTTTGTCTAATGCTGTTACTTGCAGATTATTTTGGAAGAGTGGACCCCGGATTGAAGAAATGTCTCGCCGATGGGCTTGCAAAATGAACGAGACTGGAGTAGGTTTTGTGCAACTGGGTGCTTGGGAGGGCTGGATGAGTTCGGGATAGGAGGACAGGCCCCCAAAAAGGTACCATGTATCTCTTGGTAGGACCTGTTGAGCAGGCAGTACTCTCAAACAATTTGCGATATTATCAGGCTCAATTGGTACTCGTGATCCATATAATAGGGCTCTTCTCGCTGTGGTTCCCTTCGAGATGAATACGGGGTAAAATGGACTCAAGGCTATGCCGAAGCAGTGACTATGCTATTAGGATGCAATATTGAGACAATGGTTAAAAGATCAACTGTCTAGTCTTGATTTGGGACCATGAAGATTATCTGGAGCTGTTCAAGAGAGAAACGCGTATTAGAGTTTAAATTCGTTAGTTGCTCATAAAAACGCGTCCAATTAATGCCCTGACTTCATTGGAAATAGCGTCCCATGACAGAAGACGGCCAAGCGGCGGGGTTTGTCCATCAAAAAAGCGGTTCATATGATTTGGACGGTGTATCAAGAAGCTACGGCGAAATGCCAACTTCCCGCGGGGCTTCATGCTGCTTTTGGAGTTACTACTACAGGATGCCTGCGTCTCAACCGTCCCGCTTTTTTTTCTTCGATATTTTATGGCCCTCTGACGAGATAGATCTGCAAATTAAACCTTCTCATTGGCTGAATACTGCCGTCATATTCGGAAAGCGGCCTTGCAAGTCTCCACCACCAAACATGGTGGCCCTGGTCTATCGAAGCCTGATGCACAGATGGGTAGCCTTGAAAGTGGGGTAAACAGGGATAATAATGCTACCGTTCGGTGCCAATTCGATGTCGTGGACGAATAGTGTGATTTCCATTTCTAACCCTGCCCACCGCCAACATGGAAGCCTTGGTGAACAAGACAATCCCGTCGCCGTCGGGCGGGTCGGCATTGCGCCTCGGTCCAGCCACAGACTCCGTACGACGTACCTGGACTGGACTCGATGATAGCCGGATTCCGTGTCGACAAGAAGAGGGCACTAGGGGATGAGAGGGGCGAGGCGAATAGGTGAGGCCCTGAGGAACTATTACTCTGTATGATATGATCCGTTGACCCTGCAGATAGCCACTGTCAACGACTACGAAGACTGGCGCTGAAATATTGAAATAAATGCAGAGCTAATGGGGAGCCGCACTAGGCTCGAAAGCTGAAATCTGCACCGCATCTAGCCTGGCGAGCAGCATGGACTGATAATAATGTCTGCACGTCTGGGAGAATATTGGATTGATGTAAGCTTATTTATTAGCAGCCTCCGGGCTCATGCTTTCCCATTGGCCCTTATTTTTCGCGGTGAACCCTACATATAAAGTAGTCTGGCGCCACTCGTTTACGCACGACGGTGAGGAGCACCACGAAGAGAAGACGCTGCTAAAACACTAAGAAGAAAAGTCAAGGATAAGCCGAACAACCTTTAGTTCCAGGAAGAACAATAACATCCTAAAACTAGCTGCCGGTTTGACTACAAGAAAAGAAAAGATGCATTTGATAGTTTACCGCAGCACCGCCTTCTTGATATTGAGCATTTGGCCAGAAGCTGCAGCCAGTGAACGTATCCTGGCCATTTACATCTTCCATCGGCACGGAAATGGAACTGGCAAGGCTTGGAACCCAGTTTACGTCACGGACTCGGATCTTACTCATCTCGCACTTGCGTATTGCTGGCATGACGCCGCATGAGCCCGGGTGTTGCTGTCACAGCTCAGCTCCCAGGAAAGTTCGCCTGACGATGCCATGTCCTCTCTTCAAGGCCTCTACCCGCCTACCAGAATTGAGGAGGCCTCGGCGGATGGCTCAAAAATCGGGGCGGCGCTGGGTGGCTACCGGTATGTCCCGTTTGGAGCAGTGGCTAGTGGGATTATGAGCAACGATGTTGAGAATATTTCCTAGTGATAAGTGAATCATGCAGCCTAAAATAACTACTTTATTTCTACAGAGTATCAAACAGCCTTCAAGAATGACAAGTCACTTTATCAGAGCTTATTACCTGTCATCAATGGTTCTCACGGTCCCAGCTCCGCTAATTTCAACAACGGACATGGCACGGACTGTCGTTTTTCTGACCATAGTTCCCAAATTTCATGTATTGACTCGCATCTAGTTTTTGACATGAGTAACGTCGTCCGTATTCACAAATCCCCTATCCCTGCTCATGAGCACCTGACAGGAGAGACCCTCAGTTGACTTTATAGCCTTGCTTCAACCCATGAGTAGAACTTGTCCTATAAAGCAACTTATTCCGTTTGAGTTATAACGAATATGTGCATGCCGGGTAGATTCTGAATTCTTGCAACATGTCGTTGGTGTCAAGGCCGGTAGTGCCAAATTTGAGATCCAATTCGGGGCCTACGGCAGTTTCATGTCCTTCTTCGGCCTTGCGGAGCCGCACAAAGTTTTGAATGGCTTCTATTGTATGACTTACTACGCCTTGTTTTTAGCCTTTGAGCTCCACACCGCACGTACTAATCCAAAACCTAAACCCGACGACATAACGTGCAATTCCCCTATAGTAATGGGAGCGCTAGTAATGGTAGTTCTTCACTAAATACCAAGAGGCAAGAAATTATTCCTTGGAGCAACTCTAAGATGGAGTCTGGTTGAGAAAGTTTGCTATCGCTAGCACCCAGCACTGATGCCAGGTATGTGGCAATACCGCTGGCTAATGTGCTTCCAACTAAATTATTCACTGTAGCAACACCTCTCAAATGTCGAATAATAATAATAATAATAATAATAATAATAATAATACCATATACAAGATGGCTTCGGTATTATTCGTGTCCTGGTTACTCTTGGTGTAACACCTGGATTGTAGACCGTCCTTTGCCTTTTAGAGGTCCACGCATTATGAGGAAGCCGAACCTAGGCGCTGCTAGCCGTAATGGGATGGGAAGAGTTTACCCATGCTTGGACGATGCTTATTGTCAGCTTATCGGGACTCATATTTCGGGCAGATATTAAACTAGCAATTTCTATAAATCGACACTTTATCGCAAATAGTGTTCTTTTCTTTTTGGCCATTCAAGCGGAGAAAGTCCCAATTGGTGGTGCTTCGGTAAGGTATAATTTAAAAACTTGGTAGTATCAATTTAAGATGTCTATAGCTACTAAAGCTGACTGAATCTAGCTGAAGACGACAAACTGCCAAATGTATCCTTATATATGCAACCAATCTTGACGGATGGCAGTCGGGTGAAAATTGAACCACTCTCGCTCAATGAGCTATGCCTAAGGGATCGTGAAGTTGGGAGGGACGCAGTAGGGGCTGCCGTTTTCCTGGAAGAACTTGCAGATGGTTTTTGGTGGGCAGTTACCAGCAAACTAAGACGATTAATATTACGAACCTGATCAAGTCAGAAGCGAACAAGATACTTACCACCCACAGGTTGCTGGTATTGCAAACATCCCAACCGTTCACGTTAGGATCGCATCGATAAGTGGCCGGCTTGCACCGCTCAGGGGTCTCTGAGCCTGGTGCAGCGATAGCGACGGAAGCCAGAGCGGCAACGGAGGCAATGATAAACTTCATGATGATGAATTTGGAAAGCGTTTGCGACGAAATAAACTTGGAAGAATGAGTAAAGTTGATGGTACTTCTGCAAAGGTCTTGTAGATGAGATGGCTGATGAGGACGAGAGCAGAATGGTAAACACACCGGAGGAGCTGTAGTTTATATAGTTTTTGTACGCCTGGCTCGATACATGGATGAAATAGATGCGTCGCTTGCGAACTCCTTCAGTCACCTTGTTCCGTCGAAGTTGGCGTGTTGGGCTCGTATTCCCAGCGTGGCGTCGGGCACTCGCTGCGTCGGGATATCGGACGGTCAGATGTTTGCATCCGAATCCAGCTCGGCCGCGAAGCCATCTTCAAACATTCCAATGGAGCTGGTGTCCGACAGCAGCAGGTGGCTGTGCCCCGGAAAGGCGCTGATGTCTCGGTGTAATCCAGACCCGTCGAGTGCCCCAAAGTGCGCTGACATTTGCCCGCAAGCGACTGCCATTCGTGATTGGATCGGGCCTTTCTGGCGTATTGGTGTCAAGATTGTTGGCGTGTGACTCGCTGTCGAAGAAGCCGTAGGCGTTATACGAGCGGCATTCGCATAAAAGTGGCGGCGGGCTGAGCAGAAGTGTCACTATTTCTGTCACAACACGGACAATTTGCGATATTGCGGAGAACAAGAGGCGTTTTCCTTAAAGTCTATTTGTCTGAGACACCGCCTCCACTCGGCGGTTTGCGATGCACGACATACCTAGGTACTAGACCTTTGGGGGCTGATACGCTCGTCGTTGGTCATATGCGCCCTCCTCCCCGCGGGGAAACAATGCAGGCATCGCCCGAGCTCAATCAGGCCGGGCCCGTCTATTTTTTGTCTCGTATTTTGATTTGCCCCCATTACCAGCATGGCCACAAATCGCGGCCAATATTGGTCAAAGAACCATCTGGGGGAGGTTCCGAATTACGTGAGATTCTTGCGCAAGTCAACCAGCTTATGGGGGTCACATGGATCATGCCCGGTCTCCGTGGCCAAAGTCATGGCTTCAGCTGACGTTGTGGAGGCGGGGGACTGAACTGAGGACGTAATCCATTGAGCCGGATGGTGTATGGTCAGAAGAAGCTGCCATAGCAAGAGGTAGCCGAAGCCTCGTCACTTCAAGCTTTGTGATGAAGCGACAAGAGAATGACACATTCACTGTTGGGATGGCTAAGCTTCTAGTCATGTAGCAAGCCTGATTTGAGGTTGTTGAAAAAAGCATGGGAAGCCGAGTGGGTGCACCACTTGACATTGTTGCACAGTTAGTTGAATGATTCCATGATTCAGCGGAGTAGTGTCGAAGAGTATCTCAGTAGAGTTGTAATGACGTCTTTGATGGTTACGAAACATAGTTCTACTACCTGGTTGCTCCTACTCCATGCCATATCGTGTTGGAGGCTGATTACCATGGCTCACAGAATATAAACAACAGTTTGGTAGGCAGGATGGCATAACTGTGTGATGATATCATATCCAAACGCATTTGCTTCGGATGATATCACAAAATTACCTCAGTAGAGTAACACATTGACGTCTAATACCACCATATCATCATGGCGGCGCAAGAAGCTCTTCTATTGGACCAAATGGGGTTGCTGTCGGAATAAGCCGCGCTAGCGTTGCTACTCTACCAGACGACAGCCCTGTGATGGAACGCTCCAATTTCCACTCCATCCTTGACTTGCTGGGTGTGTCCACCTCGGGCATCTCTTGCAACCCTGCCAAGAATCCCAAGGAAATAGTGGCGTATGAGTACACACCTTTGCATGCTGGTGGTACCCAAGACTCTTGTATCTGATGGACATGATGGGTACTTTGAGATGCTGCAGGGTTTTGATGACTCGGGTATTCCTATTTCACGGTCAAGGCGAGTTGATGAGTGGGCTGACCCTAACCCTTGTCCACAGCTGATGTAGTGCCAACCACCCACCGTGAAATACGGACGGGTAAATAATAGTACCGAATTGAGGAAGTAAGTGACGGCGTACCAATACATACATAGTTATATCCGATGTTTTCAAAGAGCCTAATCTTTCAGTACGGATGTGTCTGGCCTTGATGTCATGACAGCGCTCGATGTCTGTACGCGGCCAAGAGTTTCAAATGAGTTTTAAATGGGTTCTTGGCCACTTCTTTTTAATAAAAGACAAATTTGCAAGACACTACGATATTATCACCACGACATGCCCTTGGGACGTATAGTGGATTGGAAAGAAGAACTACAAGCAGATCAGGCGTCACAGTTAGCCAAGGCTACGATCACGGGACCCAGGGCAAAGGCTGTCACCGGATTCTTATGTAAATAAAAGCTTTTTGGTCCATACAGGCCCTGAGAACCTTCAATACAAAAGACTGTTATGAAATGAATTGAGCTACGACTCCAAGACCTCAGTGAGGTCTTGTCATATAGGGGACTGAAACCCCACAATTTACGAGCAGACCCTTTTCCGAATGACCATATTCATCTCGGAGCGGCACAATAAGTATGTATAGCTCTGATTAACAATTGAAATTTTTCTCATTTGGAGATTACTCATAAGTAATTAGGAGGAGTCCCATCACAACATGTGCCTAGATGCCAACTGTGACAAGGGCCTAGCTTGGAGCAATTACTCAATTCATCTAATAACAGTCTTTGGTATCAAAGGTCCTTGGTTTTCCTCAAGGCCTTGAGGGACCAAAGACGTCTATTTATACAAGAAGTCGGTGAGGGACTTTGCCCTAGGTCTCGTGACCGTAGCCCTTGTGTAACCAGCCATTTCCGTGTAACACCAACCAAGCTATTGCCCACCAGAAAGGGGAGACGAGGTGTAAAATAAATGAGATTTGCTTCGAGTCCAATGTACGCGCTATTAGTATATACGAGGAGGCGGGCGAGGACACTGGCTGTTCATTTGTAGCGCTCAGAGCTAACGTGCAATCTACACGAATTCGGCGGGCCACTTTAAGTTTATGAACAAATGCAATAGCTCGAACATGATATTATTAGAACTAGATGCACCAGAAAGTAGGATAGAAGTATGGGAAATACTTGTAGACACTATATTGATATAGTTTACAAGGTTGATGCAGGGGAATAGTATGTATATTGCGGATACTTGAGATATAGTTTAAGCTTGATTGCTGCTCTCAACCTTTTCTCTTCGTTTTCGGCGTTCCAGTTAATACTTCAGACGCAACAGTTGTGAGTTGGCAAACAAGCAAGGTGGTGCTATTTTGTTTACTGTTCCCGTAACTAACTCACTAGCCCGCTTTTGTGCCACCAGACTACCAGACTCTTGCTAGTTCCCGATCAATGAGAACATTGACCCGCCAAGCCTCTGGTGGGGACTCATCGGGGTACCTGGTGTCAGGTGAGTCGACTTGAACCTGCCGGCCAGACGCCGTCTGTTTCGTGAGTGATTAGTCAGGACCACTATGAGAGCTAATTGATGTGATAAAGTGTCGGTAGATCCAAGTCAAATCCTGTTGGTTTGCAATCTCTATTTCCTGTTTTCAAACGACTCTTCCGCAATGACTGTGCAACTTCGAATCGCGACAGACGCCGATGCTGAAGCGATTGCAACGCTGGCCGCAGACGCATTTCACCCAGATACGGACACCATAAGCCGCCGATTATTTCCACAACATCTGCAGCCAGCCGACTGTGCAGCGGGAGACACGCTGCGGCTATGGAGACTGGCGCGAAAGTCCATCAAGTTGACCGACAAGAGAATCAATTTGATAGTTGCCGTCGATGATGATTTGCGAGGTCAAATTGTCGGGTTTGCCCTGTGGGAAATTCCCGCACCAAATGCATCGGATAGCGAGTTGCTCCCTTCAGCAGTATCCTCGCCCGGCTTGGATGAGGGCGCGTTTGAGGAGATGCAAAGAATACTCGTAAACCATGTTCGCAAACACTTTGGGGACCAAGGAACAAGCAATATGTGGCGTGCGCAGCAATCCTACCTTTCCAATCCACATGGATCAATCGATACTGACAACGTTGCTGTCATGCTTAGATCTGGACCATCTTGCTGTTGATCCGAGGCATCAGCGTAGGGGTATTGGCAAACTTCTGTTAAACTGGGGTATAGAAAAGGCAAAACATGACGGGCGGGATTGCTACTTGGTCGCCACGCCGGCGGGAAAATCACTCTATGAGAGCGTTGGCTTTCGAACCTTGCAGGAACTGTCCATTTTTGATGTACCACATTACTCCATGATACTCAAGTCAGACCCTGATGAAACAATTTAGCGACTTTGTCACATTCTTGGAGGGCCAAGCTAATAATACATACAGAGTATAACGTTGCTCATGTCTTGAACAGCTTGCTGGTTTGTTTTTCGGCGCTGGCACAAACGGCACTTACATTATGACCATGCCATAGCCACGTGGAAGACCCAGGACCCGGGGGTGATCGGGATCCCGACGGATTTGCCGCACGATTGCACAGCGAACCTGAAATAATGGGAACTTTACTTGCTAACTCTTCATCTCAATAATGGAGCTTTTACGGTTGCCTCGGCGTCCAAATTGCTCCAACTAAGCAACAAAATTCTCCAAGCCAAGAGCCAACCGACCAACCAGACGTGCAATGCCCAAACAAATGCCCTAAAGCCTCCAAAAACGAGCAGTGGTATCATGCTAGGGTACGGTGGCATGAGCAACAGCGTCGTGTCCAAACCGGCGGATGTTGTCCTTGTAGCACATTCACTTGCCTATAGCGGGACAACCTTCAACTCTGCAAACAAGCTTCAGGATCTGTAATACGTGAGTTGCTAAAGCCATCAAGGAAAGCAATAGCCAAGTTGTTTCTGAAGTATGCAACGAAGCTACCTTGTGAAGGTTCGGCAGTAACTTGCTCTATTTGTACTATTAACGCTAACGCCTACTTGCTTTCTGGTTAAACTATATATATAGCGCGTACAGACGGTCTACTTTTCTAGTCTCTTACTATTCTTGGCCTAGTATAGCCTAATATTATTTTAGATTTTACGCTTATATAATACTTATATTATATATATAATTTTATATAATTATAAAATAAAATTACTAAAAATTAAAATTATTAAAATATTAAATTATTTTTTTTACTTAACTTTTAAATTATTTTTAAGATATTAAATAGTTTTTTTAATATATAAATTAACCTTAAATTTAATACAACTTATTATACTAACTATTAAATAAGTAAAAAAGTACTAGAATAAAATAAAACTAGCGCGTTTTACTAATAAAGCGTTTTAGTAAGGAGCACCCTCAAAGAGGGTGCAGCGAAGTCGCTGCCCCGAAAAGTGGGGGCGCGGCACGAGTACACGCGATCGCGGGCAGAGGGGTCTGGTCGGAGTATAGAAAAGCTTTGCTCAACCAGGTGCTCACTGAAGACAACACTTACATTATCTGCGGACAGTCCTACGGTCTACGCTGACGGCTTGCCACACCTGGCCGAACCTCATCAAATGATTGGAAGAGGACTCCTCGTGCGTTGCGATGAATCGTCAGAAGGTCACGGCAGCGTGTGACAATTGCCGCCGTAGAAAAGTGAAATGTGACGGCCAACAACCCAGTGAGTTAGATCAAACATTCATGCAACCGTTCACTCCTTTGTTCGGTGTGGGCTTACACGGCCATTTCTGTTCTAGAGTGTCAGCCATGTCTGTCTCGCCAGGATACTCTATGTGTCTACAGCCGAGGCAACCATGTTCGACGTACAACCCGCCCGTTGATTCCACAGACGTCGGGACCAAGATCTGAGTTGCCTGTCTCACACCCTCTTCATCCTGCTTATGCTACTCGGTCAATACATCCTGCGGCACCGCATCCACCCCCCGCGCTTCTGTCTCCATTCCAATCCTCGCCAGATAGGGCAGCGCAGACGTCTGCGGACCAAGGCAAAGCAGTGAACCAGACACCGACTGCCCCTCCACCAGGCGACATGGCTGGTTCTCAGCCGTCAACCGGCACCCCTAGAAGTTTCCCCAATGCTGTTGCTCCTGAGCTCGCTCCTGGGAGCACGGTATCACTTACCAGTGCTCCGACCTCGGGTCTCAAAAATGCAGATGCCATGACGGGCCTAGTCGGCGATCACACTGCCAACGTGGAGTACTTTGGAAGTAGCAGCGCCATCTCCTTCATGCGTCAGATCAACACTGCCATTGACACGTTGTTAGGGAGGTCACAAGTGGCGGCGCACTCTGGAAGCGGTGTCGCGCAGTTCTCTCAAACAAGTATTGAGGCGGTCCCCATCGATGGGGGTGTCGTCGACCCCATGACTTGTACTCTGCCCTCAAGGGCCTTTGCTGATGGCCTCATGCAGGACTATTACAGACTTGTATGGGTCATCTTACCTATCCATGACTGGCTCGTCTTTGAGAAGGGCTATCGAGCTATCTGGCTTGGCGAACCGTTACCCTTACCGGAGAAAGAGCTGTACTACATGGTCAATCTTGCTTTTGCACTGGGTAGCCAATTTTCCGAGAAGGTGTCTCCAGGGAAGAGGAACGAGCTCGGCCAGACCTTTTGGAAGAGGGCTCAGGCTTTGTACGATCCACGTCTACAGCCCACTGCTACCCTCGGGGGTGTCCAGTGTCTGTTGATGATGGGGCTATTCCTTCAGGGCACATCTGAGTCCCACCAATGTTGGATGGCCATTGGTTCAGCTGTTCGGATGGCTCAAAGTCTTGGTCTTCACATGGCTTCTACTGTTAGCAACGAAAGTTTCCGCGAGCTTGAGATTTCTCGTAGAGTGTGGCATGGATGCGTTTCTATGGATCGGTAAGTACCTTCCGACCCCGATGCCAGCAGAACCAAAGCCGTTGCATCTCTATAGACCACCAATCGTGGGATATCTGCAGCGGAATGGGGCCGTCTCGTGCTGAACTCTCGATAGTATCTTATCCATGACATTTGGGCGGCCAAGCATGATCGCAAATTGGATGTCAGTGGCCGTTCCACTTCCACGGATGATAGACGATGATTACCTTGACACGCAGACCACATCTAACTCCACGCGCCCTGACGGGGAGGCTACGAAGGTAAGCTTTTTCATAGAATCAACCACTCTCTACGAGATTGTGAACGATTCTCTTCTTGAGATATATATGAACCCAGAGAACAAGTCGACTGAAGATGATGTGAAACTTTTGACGGTCGTGCATCATGATAGTAGGCTCTCAAAGTGGCTTTCGTCCATACCGGAGAATTTGCTCTACTCGGTTTCGAGTTCAGCTGAAGATTTCATCTTGCAGAGGCAGCGTATTGTGCTTCGCGCTCGGTAAGGGATTGTGTCTGTTGAGTCACTACGTCGAAAAGGCTAATGTTAGACGCCCCAGATATCTTCATGCCCGGATCCTGCTTCTGCGTCCTATTGTGGCCGAATACCATCTTAAGCAGCCTAAACCGAGTCGGGCCCAACTTTTGGGATTCGAAGACAGAGCTTTATCGCAAGGCATCGTGGACGAATGCCTGACTCTGTGCTTCGGAGCTGCTCACGAAACCATTGATATGATATACACGCATCTCGACCGCGAGACCGTGACGGGGCCTACACCGGCGTGGTGGTTTTCCGTATTATGTAAGAATACCCTTGATTGTTCTCGTCGCTATTTGTTACGGCATGAGACTAAATCCTGCCGCAACTAGTTGTGTATCAGGCTGCCACAGTTCTGCTTGCGCAACGCTTCGGGCCTTCAGAACCTCGAGCCTTTGTCTCCAGTCTTGGCGACCCAGGTGCCACATGGGACAAAGCCATGCAACTTTTGAAAGCGTACTCACAAGTCGGAGAGTCCGCAAGACGATGCATAGCTGCATTGGAGATTCTGTCAGCGAAATTCCAGCATCATACAAGCCAGAACCCAGCACAGTACGCGTCAACTTGGATTGGTGAAACAAACTCGAACACTACGCAGGAGTCTCGCGGACAGTACGGAGTACTTGGAGATCTGGGTGGAGACCTGGATTTGAGCGGCGTCAACCTAAATGATATTCAATTAAATGTTGACGACATGGTGTGGCTGAACACGTCAGCCGGCGATGTTCTATTTTGAGTTATGGCCAGTATGGTCGAGCTTGGTGTTGTATACGAGACGAAGGAGGCCTTTCTCTGGACTACGATAAGAAGATGCCATTGGGACATTGGCCGGGGTCACCTTCTTTATGAATGTATTTTTAGAGTTCGGTTGCGCAGGGGAAATTGTAAGCAGAGGCGGATATTCGGGTGGGTGTAACGGTATTAACTCGTCATGAAACGATGGTCTTCCGCATGCGCTTTTTTCTTAGATAATATACCGGAATACCTTCGGTCGCCGCAGAGTATCCCCTTCCGCATCTCCTCCCCCTTCCTCGAATATCTTGTTAAACTAGAAGAAAAGGGAGATTAGGGTATTGCTAAGTAGAAGAAAGGTTAGTGAGAATGTGGTATATTAAGTTGTTCTGCCTTAGCTTCTGGTCTTTTATATTCAGCTACTTATACTATACCCCTACTTTTCGGGTCGCAACTTGGCTGCACCCTTACCCGAAAAGTAAAGGTGTAGCACGAGTCCGGGTCCCATCCTTAGACGCGACTCTATCGCAACGTAAACAAGACACCATCTAGCATGACATCAGCTAAAAGGCGCTCACAATCTATTCTCACACCTGTCAGCGGGATGTGCGGGTCGTGTTTCTGGTAGACCGCAGGTCTACGTAAGGGCTGCCGTGGCAGCCAGAGACGGTTGGGGTTAGGGTTAGTAGAAGAGTCGGTGTAATCGGCGTGCCCATGAAAATCTCGGGAAGCTACCTTGACATACAATTTAAGCCCTGAAAGTTTAGCCAGGTGTGATATTTAACAGGTGGGGGCAGCTATAAGGTTATCAAAGGTAATCTACTAATAGCTGCCAGGGTAGCTTATACACTAAAATTTTTTTTTGTATAAATCCTATAAAAAAATCAGTTATAAAAAATAAAGTATTTTTATTAATTTTTTAAATTTAAGAAAATTATATAATTAATAAGATAAAATTTATAAGGGATTTATATATAAATAGTACTTAACTTATTACTTTAACCTTCTTTTATATAATATAGCCTAGGCTCTAAAAAACACCTTTTTTTATATAGGTTTTTAGCTATTAAAAATACTTTAAGTACTGCCTTAAAAGCAGGTAATTTTACTAGAACCCCTTATAAAATTACTTTCTAGTATACTTTATACCTTAATTAAGTAATTTATTATAAACTTTTATAATATACTTAAATAAGTAACTTCTAAGTTAAGTAGCTTTAAGTTACTTTTAAAAGCTTATAATACTATTAAATTTAATTTTAATATACCTTTTAATACCATGCTAAAAAGCCTAAATTTAGTATTATTATATATACTTAAAGGCCTTATAATAATATAAATTTTTTTTGCTTATAATACTATTAATATTAATAATAATAATAAAGATTTTAAAGTTATAAATATAAATTATAATATTATAAATTAGTAATAAATTCCTATTTTATTTACCCTTTAAATCCTCTTATTAATTTAATATTTTTTAGCTATTAAGCCCTTAAAAACCAGCTTTTTATTAAAGCTTATTATTACCTTTAAAAATATAATATAATAATATATAAAAATAGGATTATAATTAAAATCTTATATAATACTAGTAATTACTTTATTAATAATATAGTAATAATATTAAATCTTTCCTATATATAGGTTTAATATATAATTCTTTACTTAATTAAGCTTACTTATAGGAATTATAGCTAGCTGCTTATTATTTCTATAAAAATTTAAGTTATATTAAAAAAAGCTATTTAGATTTTATTATATTTAAAGCGCTTTTTATTACTAAAATAGCTTTATAATAGCCTTATTTTCCTTTAACTTTTCTTAGCTTAAGCTATATTTATTACCCTAATAAATCTTAGTGCTTATAAGTAATTTTAGCTATTAAATTATAAGCTTAGCTATAATATATAATACTTTTGCCTTAATTTTATATAATAATAAGGTTATTTAATTACTAAAAATTAGGAGTATTAGATTTAATCTAATAAAACCTGGTATAATAGAACTAGTAGTAATAAGCGATTTATAATAATATTTATAAGTTATAAGCCTTTTTCCTAGTAATTTCCTATAAGACTAATATACTTATTATAAATAATAATATTAAGGAATTTAATAAGATAAAAATATAAGCTAATAATTAGATATTTTAGGCCTGCTTTATTGGCTTTTAAAAGGGTATATATATTATATAAGATAAGAAATAAAGTATAATAATAGCTACGTTTTACTTATAGTAAATTTTATTACTTTTATACGATTTTTAGGTTTAGAATCTGACCTTTAAGCTTTAATAAAATAATATACTATTATATAAAGTATAATTAATTATTAGTATAATTAAGAAGATATTTTTAGGTAAGAAATTCATTTTATAGCTATTATATAATACTAATCTTAATTTTATAAAGTATATATAGCTTTAAATAAAGTATTAAATTAATACTATATATATAATAAAAAAGCCTAAAAGTAAAATATTATTAAAAGCTATTTATAAAGCTTAGAAAGTTATATTAAAAGACTTTTTATTAAAGCTTATATATTTAATACTTTATTAAATTATTATTATTAAAATAATATAAGAAAAATATATAACTTATTAGCTAGAATTAAAAGTATTAATTTTTTTATAAAAAATATATTATTTTTTTTATACCTCTTACTCCACCTAAAGTATTACTAATTTCCTAGACGATGCCTGATAGGGCCCTTAGCCCCTGTAACACCTACTAGAAGTCACTGGTGGCTAAACTTACAGGGGGTAGATTGTATGTAAGTCCCGAATCGCCCCTGTCAGCAACGCACTACCGTTCTTTTCTACTTCGGGACGCCGGCAACATGGTGTCTAAGACAACAACCACGAAGATACGCAATGCTGGTCACCTCAATTACAGACAGATCGGAACTATCTGGCCAAGACATAGTTATAGCTACAACAAAGAGCTCTTTGGTGTCATGTTCAGCCACTACAGCTTGTACAACTCGCCCCACCTCGCTCTGATGGCTTTGACTCAGGATATGATTCAGGACCTGGACTCATCAATGACCAAGGATCGAGAACGAGTGTTTACAACTAGACGCTGCCGCGAATCCATTTCCCGCGCCTGGGAATCAGACAGGCGACATGTTGAAGCCATCGAGGACTATCGGAGAGGTATAGACTATGGAGGTCAAGGACTGCATGGCCAGCTTATTTGTGACGGCGATGGAGATGAGGCACCACCAGGTGACACCACCGGGTGATTTTTGGTTGGCATTTTTTGGTCAGCTAATTTCTTCTACCCTAACTTCGTAACGCAACGAAATCAGATAACTAAATCTTGGATATCAATATCAATACTGACCGTATCAATCAATATTGACTGCTGACAAGCCTTGTTGAGACGCACAAGTTAAAGTATTGCTGGCATGTCACTTAGCATCGGCAACTCCCCAGTTTCTCTTTCTAGTTAACTAACCCCTAGTCAAGAAACTGGTACTTAATCCCCTTCGCCATGGCCTCCGTAATATCCTTCTTTGTTCCCACCTTGGCAACCTCTGACACGTCCCTCGACCTCTTCGAGATCGGCTCCGAGACTAAAACTACTCGACTCATTGGCTGAAACCCATTCTCTTCGTATACCGGTAGCTTGATCTCGACATCGTAGTACTTGGGTTGCATGCTAACCCAATAGCCACCCTTATCGTCCAGCAGTCCTCCGTCTTTGGGATCGCACCACTTGTTGAGCCTATCTGTAAATTGGTCGCAATCTCTCAAGTGGACATCCATGTCACAGAGGTAGCGTTCGTCGTCATAGCCATAAACAAGACTCCACAACTGATAATACGGCCAGTGAGCTGGTTTGGCATATAAACCTAAATGGAATGCCCATGTTTCAATTCGGCACGCATAGCCAGGCTCGCAGAACGCCTCGTGGGATATTGTATTTGTTTCCGTGTGGGTGTTGGACTTTGTGTTTGAATACGATGCAGAGACCTCGACGGCACCGCCTGCCACGTCTTTTTTGCCACCTGTGCCGGAAAGCTTTGCACTAACCGTCCAGCCCTTAGTCTCTACCTGCAAAGTAGTGGTGGATTTGGTGACAACCATTTTGACGTCCTTTTTATGTCCTGTATTGGTCGCAGTGGTTTCCACATGGGGGACATAATAGGCGGTCAAACTTCTTACATCATCGTGGCGGATCGTCCCTGTATGCCAGAATGCAACTTGGTCTGCTGTCCAAATATTTGGGCTGCAAATATATTGCCACTCTTTGGTGAACCCCAGCTCTGGCAGGCTCGCATTATTGACTGTAAACGCCGCCTCAAGGTCGGTGAGCATTGACCTAGCATACGACCCAGCATCGTCCTGACGTATGGCATGCAGGTTAACGCCCGTGTCTGCAGTCGGGTGAGCGCTTGCCGCAAAAGCCAACACGGAAACGAGCGTCACGTATATCTTCATTTTTACGAAGACGAGGGGCTCTTAGTCGCAGTTTGGCAGGTGATCGAGAATATTTTGGGGATTTGAGATGCTCACTTTGAGATGTAGATATTGAGTTGTCAACCCGACGTAGGATTGATGGACTTATATTCCCACGCAATATTACCGTTGGCCTTCGCCAAACTGCTACCACCTGAGGCCAGCTAAATCTCAGGATACATTACGAGATAAAATTGCAACTCGTAATCGGGCGGAGCTACGTGGCCTGGGCTGCAGTACCTTGACGAGAAACCAGAAACTACAGTCATCACGAGTCATGCGTATTGCGCGCTGCCGTAGCCACATCGCCTGATTCCAGAATGCCGGCTCATATTACAAGGGGCAGAAGCATTTATCGACCAGGGATGTCTACTCATACAGCAGCAGGGCTATGTAATAATATGACTTTGCAAGTAGTAATACCGTCTGTTCATGCCTGCATCTGAGTTGAATATAGTTGTTTGAGGCCGCTGCCTGTTGGTGTGCTGGATCCGTCCCTCAAAGGCTTGCCTTTGTGCCTGGGCTTTCTTCGGTTTAGCCGATTTTGCAACGACTGGTACAGTTACACCCACCAGACGTGGACAAACCGGTGCATGGTAAGTAGACTGGGGTTTCCTCGAGCCACAATGTGGTTGTCAGTGATTATATGGATGAAAGTACCCCAAAAGCGAGCTCACGCATGGTGTCAAGGTCAGGTCGCTCATTCAAGGCAACAGCTATTGTTATACTGCTGCCTGCCAGGTAACAGTATTATAATAAGTATTTAGTTTTGTATTATTCCACTCTTTAGGTAAAAAAATCAAGAGTCATTTATTCTGCCCAAGCTGTCCCGTACAATCCTGTGTGTGACACATGTTTAATTGGTATTCGTTCTAGTCGAGTGTGTTCACAACTAGCAACTCCTTGCATATCAAGCTTAACGGCGTTGTCGGAAGTCGTCAGACGCTAGGATACTACAGCTAAATTTACAAGTATTAATTCACAACAGGTATTAAAAGGGTAGTAGCGACGGTTGATAATAATAGGCTATAACAGATAGCTGCGTCACTGATTTGTTACGTTACTTGCTTACCTCTTTACGTTTCGCCATTCAGCAAGAATGTTGTGTCTTATAGTTCAAAAAGTGTGCGGCTAGGATAGTATCGAGAACAGCGTTCAGTCTATAATATAAATTGCTTGTGTATACTAAGTGTGTCTGTATCTGTTGAAACGATCCAGAGCCTATGAATTGCGGGTTACACCGCAAGTCTTCAAGATGCCTCCCACTTGACTCGCCTATCAGGATTGAAAAATCCTTGCTGCTCGTCTGTCCTCCGAGGTACAATAACGACCGACTAATGGGACCAGCGCGGCCTTGGACCCCACTTCAGCCCGCCCTTGTTTCAAGATGGCACCTTCATGCTTTCATTAACGTTTGCTAACGCCGAGACAATCCGACGGTGATGCGAGGCGGCTATGGGAAGAATAGGCCGAGGGGGGGCTGCTTTGCAGAGGCCAAGCTCGTTTGCGAGTGCGTAGACCACCCTGAGGTCACCGAACTCTTTGAATAGTTCCCAGATGGGCTCAAGGAGAGCCGAGATGCGCTTCACTTCGGCGTCGTCCCCTCTGCGAATGGCATCCATCAGCGCGACAGACGGTGCCGGAAGCACGCCCGCAATCACACTGTACCATACAGAGCCTCCCGCCATTAACGAGTCGGCCACCAGCCAGTCCGCACTGTATCCGACAGAAAAACCAGAGGGAAGGTTTGCGCGAAGCGCTTCGTGCCTTCCTTTCGGCTCATTGATGGGGGCGGGCTGCTTGAGCGCAACGACATTTGGCAACCCGGCAATGCGAGCAAGAAGTGCATCACTGAAGGTGAAATGCGTCGTGCTCGGAGTATTGTAGATACAGATGGGTAGCGTGGTAGAGCCAGCAACTGACTCATAGTGCCGGTAGACCTCTTCCTCAGTCAACGGATTGTACGAGACAGGTGCAAGTAGCAGCCCATCGACGCCTGCTTCCTCTGCGTCTTTAGCTAGATGCTGTGCATCGTCCGTCCGAAGCGCACCAGCAGAGACAATAATTGGTTTTCTACCCCGCAGGGTTCGTATAGCCACATCAATCGCCACCTTGCGTTGCTCCCTCGTCAGATAAATGTAGGTTCCTGTACTCCCCAATAGTCCAATCGAATCAATACCGGGCATGTCTAACCTCTCAAGTATTCGACCGAGGGCGGCAGTGTCGACCTTGCCATCCGGATCAGCGGGGGTAATCGCGAACGCCGAAAGGCCTTGAAAAATGTTCCTTGTATTTCCCATATTGAAAGAGACTGTTAGGATGGTTGTTATGCTTAACTCCTTTTGTAGAATATCTTTGTCTGTGAATTTATATAAATATAGGAACTGCTTCAAGGCGGCCAAAAGGGTCAAGGTTCTATCCTGGCAGTCAATATAAATACTTCCGGTACATCCGCACTTAGCCGTTTCTATAAACTAGAACCCTAAACCGGCTAGTAATTTACTGGTCGTAATACTCTACTACCCCTCTACCAGGTACGGAACGGATAATGCTTCTATTGGTTAGTTTTCCGAAGTATTTTCTGCATTCTTTGCGGGACTTTCCGCGGTCTTGTAAATTCCGGCTCTACCCGCTGGTCAAGGTGTGGGGCCCACAGCACCGGCTAGTAATTTCTTTGCTATTATACCCCACTACCTACTTCGTGCTAGGTACGGAGCGGATAGTATTTTTATTGGTTAGTTTTCCGAAAATATGTTCTGCATTTTTTATGGGGCTTCGTATTTGAGGTCTTGTACGGGGTAGATTCCGGCTCTATCTTGCTATTACTCGTGCCACGCCCTACTTTTTTGGGCTCGCTTTGGCTCGCATCACCAAAGTGCGGGCAGATTAGCAGCTCGGGCACTTTTTAGGCCTAATAGCTCAATTAACCTCTTCGCATAATTTGTACGTCCTGTTCGTTATGAATTTCTAGTAGTTCTAGTACTAAAGTTATACGCTATTTACGTGCCTTTTTTACAGCTTCAAAAACCACTTTTTGGCGTTAGTATATGCCTTTTTATTTGCAGCCTCAATAACTATCACGTTTTGTGTCAGATAAATCTTCCTCTGTTAGTTGAACAAGCAGACTTAACGTAATTACTAGATATCATAAAATCAGGTAGCTGAGAAGTCTTCTAAACTAAGGATAAAAGACATGAACCCTTCTGAAGAATAGAAATAATAATTAATTCTTTTTTAATAATAAGCTTAATTAATAATAAGTCTTATAACATGATAGGGTTACCTAGTAAAAGTTATTTAACAAGGCAATTATGTGGCAGTCTTCGAAACAGAAAATTGTAACCACATTGACAACTGAAGCTGAGCTCTTATTACTGCCTCACACAGCGAGGGGAGATAATATCTCTATACCGGCTATTCCAACAAATAGAGTTTAATCCTGAATAACAAGTTTATATTCTCTGCGATAATTAACAAACAGTAGAATCCAGAAAGAGAGACCACAACTAATATCAAAACTAAAACATGTTAACATCCACAACCTCTAGCTAAGACAGATTTATAGATATAACAAAATTACTGTTCATGTTACGACCTAGCACGTAGGCTGCAGGTTGGGCCGGCTATATAGAGCCGCTAGGCAGCACAGGTATAATAGGCTATAGAATATTAGTTAATATAATAGAACTAATAAGAAGAATACTTAGTTATTATAAGTAAGTATATATAATACTTATTAGTATTTAAAAGTAAGTATTAAGAATACTTACCTTTATAATAACTAATAATTATAATATATAAGAACCCTTAAATTTACTTTATAAATAGACTTTAACTTCTTAGCTTTTAATACTAATTATTATATTAAATAAGCTTTACTTATAACTTTTTAACTCTAATTACTTAGTTATAATTTATAACCTATTATTAATATAATACCTAATTACTTAGATTAATTACCCTAGTAGCTTTATTAATATAAACTATAACTAGTTTATCTTTTAAGAACCTTAATTATTATATATTAAAAGCTTTTATTTAGATTATTACTATGTTACTTTAAGTAATACCTAATAACTATTAATATAGTATTATATAAGATTATTATTATATTTAGATTAAATAAAACCTAAGAAAAACTAATAATTATTTTTATTTATAAAATACTTACTAAGATTATATACTT